ACAGAGCTCCCATCATTAGCTATGGAGCTATTAGCAGCTGATGGCTGCTGGAGGAGGGAGACTGTTTCCTTTGATGGTGTGGTTCCTGGTAGGTCGAACAAGCATGCGCCCATCAACCCACCCAAACCATCCATCCATCTAGCCGCCCATCAACCCACCCAACCATCCACCTATCTAGCCGCCCATCAACCCACCCACCCATCCATCTATCTAGCCATGTATCCACCCGTGCAGTCCTCAGTTCATCTATTTGGCTCCCCAGTGCTGGGATTCCCAGTGCACACCATTTGGCTTATTGTGTGGGTGCTGGGGGCTGAACTTGAACCCTCAAGCTTGCCCTGTAATCACCACTGGCAGAGCCATCTCCCTAGCCACATAGATCTTACTTGACTCAATAATGAATAAAATAGTAAGAATTTCAACTTTTCAAAGGAGTAGTGGAAGTAGTGGGGATTTGCAAGTATGCATCTGTCTGTCTTTGGGGTCAAGCAGCTTGTATCCTCCAAAGCACAGCCCCAGTGAGACCAGAGATTCCAGGAAGGAACCAGGAGCCCTAGAATGCAAGAGTACAGGAGAGGCAGTGCACAGAAGTCCCTGAGCCTCTAAAGGAGCCATCTCTGAAGATACCTGTCTCTTAGCCTAGTGACACTGATGCCAACCCCTGGACCACTTGTGCTCTGAAGGTGTTAAGCCAGGCTTGGTGGTGCAGGCCTGGGATTCCAGCCTTAGGAAGACTAAGGCAGGAAGATGACAGCCAGAAGTTCAAGGCCAGCCTGGGCAACATAGCCAGGTCTTGTTTCTAAAAACTAAAACATAGGCCAGGCATGGTGGTGCACGTCTTTAATTCCCTTTTGGGAAGCGGAGGCAAGTGAATCTCTGTGAGTTTGAAGCCAGCCTGATCCACATAGCAAGTTCCAGGACAGCTGGGGCTCTGTAGAAAGACCCTGTAGAAAGACCCTGTCTTAAAAAATACACCCACCCCTCCCTCCCTCCCTCCCTCCCTCCCCTCCTCCTCCTCCTCCTCCTCCTTCTCTCTCTCTCTCTCTCTCTCTCTCTCTCTCTCTCTCTCTCTCTCTCTCTCCCCCTCCCTGTCGCTATCTGTCTCCAGAAATGCTGGGCCTGTTGTGACTTGTTCTTGTGGCAGCAGAGGAAGCCAGAGCCTCTCCACCACCATCCCAGACAATAGGAGGAGAAGCATGTGGGACTCGAAAAGACCAGACCATTCATCCCATCCCAAGATGACACTCAATTGCAAAGGAGCTGGGAAGGATGTATCAGTGCCTATGTCAGAAAACCAATCCTGGGTGGAAACAGTGACTTTTGAAGCCAGGTGTCATGGTCCAAGTCTATAACCCAAGCACTCTGTAGGCTGAGGCAGGACTGCCTAGAATCCAAGGCCAGCCTGCACTACACAGCAAGACCTGTCCCAGAACAAACAAAATACAACTCTGGCACGGTGTCTAACTTTGTAACTCTAAATTGAAGGCTAACCTGGGCTATCTAAGTTCACATAGGGAGACTGTATCAAAAACAAAAACAGACGACCTGTTGCTCTTCCAGAGGATCTGGACCCAAGATCAGTTCTCAGCACCCACAATGGCTCACAACTGTCTGTAACCTCAGCTCCAGAGGATCCAACACCCTCGCTGGGCCTCTGTGTGAACATGCACATGCCGCGCGCGCGCACGCGCACACACACACACACACACACACACACACACACACACACCTCTTTCCCTTTCTATTTCCCACTCTTAGATTAAAAATAACTCTTTAAAACAATAAAGCCAAATCAAAATTTTCGGTGTGTGTGTTGCAGGGGATGGAACTCAAATCCTCCTGCCCATGCTATGTGATTATTCTACTATTTTTGTCATCCTGGCCTAGGACAGGCAGACTTCACTAACAAAAATCCACAAGCGAGGCATGATGGTGCACATTTTTTAAAATGACCTTTATTCCAGCCTTTTTTTCTTTTTCTTTCGTTTTTTTTTTTTTTTTTTTTTTTTTTTTTTGGTTTTTCGAGACAGGGTTTCTCTGTGTAGCTTTGCGCCTTTTCCTGGAACTCACTTGGTAGCCCAGGCTGGCCTCGAACTCACAGAGATCCGCCTGGCTCTGCCTCCCGAGTGCTGGGATTAAAGGCGTGCGCCACCACCGCCCGGCTTTTTTTTCTTATTAAGAAATTTTTCTATTAATTTTACATATTAACCACAGATTCCCATGTCCTCCCTCTTTTTTTTTTTTTTTTTTTTTGGACAGAGTTTCACTGTGTAGTTGTGGCGCCTGTCCTGAATCTTGCTCTGTAGACCAGGCTGACCTCGAAATCACAGAGATCTGCCTGGCTCTGCCTCCTGAGTGCTGGAATTAAAGGCATGCACCACCACCACCCAGCCAGCCTTTTTTTTTTTTAAATGATTTTTTTTTATGTGCATTGATGTTTTGCCTGCATGTGTATCTGTGTGAGGGTGCTACATCCCTTAGAACTGGAGTTACAGTTGTGAGCTGCCATGTGGGTGCTGGGAATTGAACCCAGGTCCTCTGGAAGAGAAGTCAGTAGTACTCTTAACCACTGAGCCATCTCTCCAGTCCTGGGAGTGAATACTTTTAAGCCCAGCACTCAGGAGGCAGAGGCAGGCAGATCTGAATTCGAGACCAGCCTGGTCTACATAGTGAGTTCTAGGAGTGCTAGAGGGTATATATATATAGAGAGAGAGACCATCTCAAAAAGTGTGTGGTGGAGGAATTCAAACCCTTCATTACCTTGAAAGTATATGCCAGGAAACAGGCTAAGAAAGCTGTGGATAGTTTTATTCCAGAGTTGGCTGGTTGTTTTTATTTACTTCTGTGTATGTTCTTGTGGCAGCAGAAGCAGCCAGAGCCCCTCTACTACCACTCCAGCCAACAGAAAACGAAGCATGTGGGACTCCAAAGGACCAGGCCATCCATCCCATTCCAAGATGACACTCAATTGCAAAGGAGGCTGGGAAGGATGCCTGGGTGGAAATAGCGGCTTTTGAAGCCAGGTATCATGGGCCAAGTCTATAAAGCACGATGCATATGAGTGCTGGTGCCATCGAAGGCCAGAAGAGGGGGTCAGATCCCTCAAGCTGGAGTTACAGATGGTTGTAAGCTTTCTGACATGAGTGCTGGGGACCAAATTTGGGTTCTCTACTGCTGAACCAGTTCTCCTGGGAAGAGTATTTTCTATCCTTGTGTGGTCTTTTGCTATTCTCTGTGGCATACACCAGACCTCCTTGCCTGTAAGATTCCAGGGAGCCTCCTGTGTCCATCAAGCTCCAGAAGGATTACAGATGTGCACTACCACATCTGGCTAGGTCCCTGCTTTTGTCCATTGACCATCTCCTCAGTGCTATTTAATTTTTGAGACAAGTTTCTACTGTGGCTCAAAGCTGGCCCCGAGCCTGCAATTCTGCTCAGCTTCCCTAGTCTTGGGATTATAGATAATGCTTCACGTGGGTGGCTCAAAAGGTGGTTCAGTAATGGGAGGGGTCATGGGTGTGGCACCATCAGAATTAGACCAGGGATGCTTGCAGTCCCCAACCCCACTGAGGGTGACACAGAGCAAGGCAGCACGCAGCAGTGTTCTTGGAATTGCTACGATCACTCGTTCTATCATTTTTCAACTCACCACCAATAAAACCAAGGAGCCCAGGAACCTTTTTAATGTGTGAATTTTTTTTTGAAGATTTATTTATTTATTATGTATACAGTATTCTGCCTGCATGTGTCTCTGCAGGCCAGAAGAGGGCACCAGATCTCATTACAGATGGTTGTGAGCCACCATGTGGTTGCTGGGAATTGAACTCAGGACCTCTGGAAGAGCAGTCGGTGCTCTTAACCACTGAGCCATCTCTCCAGCCCCTAATGTGTGAATGTTTTGCCTGCACCTGTCTGTGTACTACTTCACGTGTCTGTGCTGGAGGCGGCCAGAAGCAGGCATCAGAAACCCTGGAACTAGAGTTGGACGGTTGTGAGCTATCATGTCGGTGCTGGGTATTGAACCCAGGTCCTCTGGAAGAACACTAAGTGCTCAATTGCTAAGGTACCTCTGTAGATGGTGTACCTTGGAATTCTGAAGCAGTCATAAAGCTCTGAGACACCTGAGCCCCAGGAAATCTACCTGTCTCCATCTCCCTAGTGCTAGGATTACACACAAACACACCACCATGTTCAGCTCTTTATGTGGGGTCTGGGAAGTGACACTCAGGTCCTGGCAAGCACTTTACCTACTAAGCCATCTCCATGGTCCCTACAGTTGTAGCCTCCAGCAAGTATGGTTTTGGAAACCTGTGGTACAGGTGAGCAGAGTAGGTAGGTTTTAAACAGGAGGCAGTGTCCACAAGTACAGCTGTTCTGGGAGGGGCAGGAAGATCCTAATCTACACCCTGCAGACATGTCCCAGAAAGGCAGTCGGTCTTGAAGGGACACAACTTTCAGAAGACAAACTCAGGTGGGCAATGGCCTTAGAACTGTCTGAGTCTGGTAGAGACTGGCTCTGGGGCTGCCTCATGTGGCCACTGTGAGGCTGGCCCCTCACTAGTGCCACCCTTTCTTCCCAGGTGTCCACGTCTAGTCCAGAGCACAGGGGTGGGGGTGGGGTAGGAGCTAACTGCCTAAAGCCTGGCCTTTCCCTTTGTTCCCTGGGCTGAAGCTATGACAGTCAGGTCCCCTTAGCCAGAAGGGGCAAATCCCTGCTGACAATGCAGAAGAGCAGGAAGACAGAGCCATATAAGGCAGGCAGCAGAGCTGAGGAGCAGTGCAGAACAGCCCACAAAGGCATGCATGTGCCTTGGCTACCAGCCCCAGATGCAGGGCCCCTCCAGGCTTAGATGGCTTAAGGGACCCCTCTCCTGCCTTACTGTCTGAAGCCCCCATCTCTGCCCTGGGGTTCCCCAGACCATTCCAACCCTGTGTCATCTCCCACTCCCCATCTTCAGCAGAGCATAAGGCAGTCGACGCTTGCTCATCGCATTCTTAACTGGCAGTGGAAAATGCTGGGGACTTTATTGAAAAAAAGCAATAAATAACACTGTGATAAAAACAGTTCAGAAGTTGACTGCACAGACTTTGTTATGTAATTGGGAGGGTCACAAACGATTAACAGAAAAACAGAACAACCAATTGTCCAGATGAGTTAAAAGCAGAAAGCAAATATTGAAGCCCCACATCAGCTACATAATAAATACACACGTGTCTGCCTGAGCCCTGTGGCTTAACTCACCAGAGTCAGTCAGGAGGCTGCCAAGACAACTATGAGTGTACAGCTAGGTCCATTCTTAAGACATTTACAAATAAATGTAAAAAGACAGTTTACACAAGAAAAATAAGGCCTTTATTGGAGTTGCAGGCTGCCTGCTCCGCTGAGGTTTCTGGCTTTCACCTGCTCTGCCCCAGTCAGGAAATGAGCACCTGCCCCGTGATTGGTCCTTGAAGAGTGTGGAAGGAGGGATGCAGCTGCAAAGGCTCTATCAGCTGCTCAGTCCGCAGGTGGCAGCCACCCAGCCCGGTAGAGTGCTGCTCCTAGCTCAAGGCCCTGCTCAGCTCTGAAGATCACCAACCTATGTCCAGAGCAGGGCCAGGGATGTGGCCAGGGGTAAGGGTTGTTCACAGAGTCCTGACCATCCGTCCCAAGACTAATGGAAGCTGAGATTTCGTGTAGAAAAAGTACAGTAAAGGTCAGTCATTAAAATACGACAGAAAAACGTCTGGAAATAAAGTCTGCTTGTTTCAGAATGATTGTTGCAGAGCTGGGTAGAGGAGAACGCACATGGCTTGTATCATGATGACTTTATAAATGTAGCAAAATCCTTTCCTCTGTCGGGTTCATCATTAAAAAATTAAACAGGAATAATTACAGTAAATGCATAATTTACAAAAGCCCTATATTTGCTCAGATTTACACACAAGCATTACAGTACATTCATTTAAAAGACTAAAATTAGGTATAAGAACATGAATTGACTCAAAAGGATATTTATAGCCTGGATATACATGAAAGAGTATGTAACTATATAAATGAGAAAGTGTAAGTTTACATAAATATAAGAAACAGTCAATTCTAAAATATTTTCTCTATGGTATTTGTGATTTTTCTTTTCCCCACAAGTTTAAAAACTCTGTAATAAAATATCTTGGGTCCATATAGCAAGTGTTGCCAGATGGGGCTCCACCAAGCCCTGCACCGTCTCTGCCATGGCGTCGTCGTCATCTGTAGAAGTAGTGCGGGTAAACTGGAAGCAAGCACAGACACTTCCTTCAGCACACTGCCCACACAGGGCCACCCCACAGCCACCTGTGACCTATGCCCCCAGTCCCCCAGCATATGTCTCACCATACTAATTTTAAAAAGAAGCAAAAAAAAAAAAAAAAGTAGTCCCAGATGGGTGGGGATAGGTGGGGATAGCACTCCTGGAAAGATGGGCCTCAGGAGCAAAGAGAAACCTGGGCCTAGGGGGCACCCAGCCTTAACAGTGCTCTGGAGCACTGGACACAGGTGGCCACCATACAACTGAGCTCAGCAATGCTGCACAGCAGCTCTCTAGACTGAGCCACGGTATCACACCATCAGCCACCTGATGACTAAGCTGCATAGGAGATGCCACACATGAGGTGCTACATTTGCGCAGCTGGAAGAGCCACACCGGGGTGGAGGACTGCTCTCACTCCCGCGCCCTCCATGACATCAGCCGACACCTAGGGCAAGAGAACTTAAGAAAGTCTGGGGGCTGGAGAGATGGCTCAGCGGTTAAGAGCACTTGCTGCTCTCTCAGAGGACCTGGGTTCAATTCCCAGCACCCACATGGCAGCTCACCACTGTCTCTAACTCCAGTTCCAGGGGGTCTGACACCTTCATACCAATGCACATAAAGTAAAGTTAAATAAATTATTTTAAAAAGAAAGAAAGTCTGCAGAGATGGAGAGAAAGCTCAACAGTTAAGAAACTGGTTGCTCCTGCAGAGGACCTGAGTTCTGTTCCCAGCAGCACCCACATCAGGCTGCTCAAAAATGCCTGTAACTCCAGCTCTAGGGGATTTGATACCGTCTTTTGGACTCTGGTGGCATGTGCACTCACACATGCACATACCTACTCACAAACACACACAGAAAGAGAGAAAGGGAAAGGGAGAAAGAAAAGGAAAGGAAAGGAAAGGAGAAAGAAAGAAAGAAAGAAAGAAAGAAAGAAAGAAAGAAAGAAAGAAAGAAAGAAAGAGAGAGAGAAAGGCTGTTTCACTTTTTGTGGCCACTGTCCAGCACAGCGCCTGTGTGGTACCAAGCGTGAGGAGCTATATTCTTTCAGTTCCCAAATAACTGAGGTTGGCTCTTACGGTCTGAAGCTGTCAGAGCCAGGTGGACATGAAGTAAGTGCCCACCTGTGCTGTACTGGGGACATCTGGGAGCAGCGGCTCTCTACTCACCAGCAGGAGGCTCTAGCAGGAGTAAGTCCTGACTGTGGCAGAGTCCAGCCTCTGTGCTCCGGACACACTACCTGTCTCCACAACCATGGGAGGAAGCGTGCAAACACAGCGTGCAGTTAGTGTTAAACATCACACAAGGGGACAAAAAAGACATTCCACATCTGACAAGACTTCCCGAGGGATAGGAGGACAGGCTGCTGTGGGGAAGGAGCCAGTCAAGAACAGCAGGGTGGCCCAGAGGCTCCCCTCTGAGGGCCCAGGAACTGGCAGCCAACTCAGAAACAGTAACGAGCAAGCAACACACAACTTCAGGTGTCCATGTACATGAGTGACAACTACAAAAGAGACTGCCACGTTTCTCGAGACTGCACCACAAGTCTTCTGCCAGAATACTGCACCTCCAAGAACCCAGAGGTGAACCCAGCCCCAGGAGGGGCTGTGGGAGAGACTGAGGCTACTACACTCAGAAGGCTCCATGAAAGAGCACGATGGCCAGGACAGTGGCTTCTCCTAGGAAACCAATGCCCAGACTCAGTTTCATCAGAAACCATGGAAACCGCTGAGCTGCTGGTTGTCATTTAATAAACAGCCAGCACGGCTTAAGAGACAGGATGGGCCTGTGCACAGAGAGGAGGCTAAGTTCTCACAGCCACACTCTCGGAGCCACTGAGATAGCGGACTTAGGTGGAAGGAATGCCTGCCATATGCACTACATCTTACCTCTCCTCACTCAGAAGACCTCAACACAGCTGGTGGCCAGGAGATGCCTTCTCCCAAATGGAGTAGAGGAAGTCACGTCCACACCCTAGACTCCTACACCTCTTTCTAGGCTGCTTTCTCTCTAAGCTCTTATTCTTAGAGTATTAGTGTTTGACCAACAAGTGTGTTTTAGAACAGGGAAAGCCTACATGTGCCCATTTAGCCTGAGCTAGGCTGGTACACCAGGCTCACACTGGCTCTCATGAAGTTGCTGTGAGCAGAAAAGACTGGACCTTCCCCTGTAAGCATAATACCGAACCATGGCCAAACCAGCTATGTTTCCATGTGCTTCCCAGGAGTCCAGCCCCGTGAAGCTTTGCTCATGTACTTGCCTCTGGCCTCTGGTTTGTGCTGTGAGAGCAAGAATCCCAGCAGACCAGCAGCGAACACACCACCTGCATCAGCAAGGAGGAGCAGCCTGACTGCTAGGGCTCAGGTTTGGCTGCTTCAAGTTTGTGGCTGTCAGTTACCAAAATCTCCTCAGGAACACATGGCACAGCCAGAGGGACTGCTCAAAACATGCCTAATCAAGGCCTAGGCAAACCTCCTCTGACTTGTGTCCCCTATCCACTCACTGCGCCCATTTCTGCTAGTTCCAGACAATCTCCCTGTCCTACAACACGGACACATGTGACTAACAAACAGCACAAAGAGGTGGAAACTGCATTCTTTACAATTTACTTGGGCCAGGTATTGTGGCTTATGCCTCTAATTCCAGCATTCATGAAGCTGAGGCAGGAGGCTTACTGTGACTGTGAGGACAGCCTAGGCTACTACAGTTAAAACTCTGCTTCAGGAGCAGCTCTGTGGTCAGGGCTTCGGCACGGTGACATCCAGTATGCGCACCTGTGCTGCCTTCGAGTCTCATCTCACAGATGGGCTCAACCCCATCCCCAAAACAGACAGGACTAAGCCTTAGGGAAAACAGTGTAGCGCTCAATCAAACGAGGACTTTCTTAGTTTCTGTTACTTTGGTTAATCTTGAGGAACCAATGTTAGGGTTAGCTGAACAACAAATACACCTGAGCATGCAGCCTCACTCCAATGCCCCAGGTGCAGCCAGTGCTCACACTCCCCACATGTGGTGGTTGCAGGGCCCACCACATACCGTCCATTTGAACCTTCTTTGGCTGCATAGAGGGTGATGACATAGAGGAGGTGACCCGGAAGTTAGCAGGCAACGTCTCTGCAGAGCCAGAGGCCAGGCCGCGGATGTCCTTTGGTCTGAACTTCTTCCTCCATGAAGGTGCTCTCCTGAAACTTTTGTCATCGTCCTGGCAAACCAAGGAGACAAGTGCCAATTAACAGTAAAAGCAGCACCCAGCCAGGTCTGCGCTCTTCAGATGTTGTAGGATCTCGGGGCTCTGGTTTGTGTACAGCTAACCTTCCTGTTGACAGCACACCTGCCTACCTAGTCCAGATCTGCAGAGGAAAAGGACTATGGAGACACTCCTCTGGCCACAGCTGGAGAACTGAGGCCAGTCCTGGGTTGTGGCCCTTCTCACACTTCAATTGTCATACAAAAACCACCTCACAGACGGGATGTACAGACTAGGACATGGTCAACAAGACCTCTTCAGAGACAGCGTGTGTTCTCTTTATCAAACTAGAGTTGTTTCCAAGGCCCAATGATAACAACCCCTACATGTGATGTCATGGGTTTTGAGAGGGAAGAAAGAAATTAACAATTTTGAGCAAATGTACTTTTCAGACACATCTTTTCCCAAGGCACAGAGGCTCTGGGAAAGCCTGACAGAATGACCAGTTCTTCCCAGAACACAAGATACAGATGCTACTTCTGGGCTTCATCCAGTTTCATGACTTGACAACCATTTGTGAGACATCAAAAACCAACAGTAAGCCAGGCATGTTGGGTACACTTGCACAATGCTGCAAGTTCAAGGCTACCTTGGGCTACATGGTAAGATCCTTTCTCAAAACAAAACCCTAAAAAAAGTTTTATTAAAACCATTCTTGCTGGAGGGATGGGGGTGGTGCAAGCCTTTAATCCCAACACTCTGGAGGCAGAGGAAGGCAGATCTCTATGAGTTTGAGAACATCGAGGGAAACAGGTTTTCAAGAAACCCTGTCTTGAACAATCAAAAACCAAACCACAACAACAACAAAAATCCATTCTTTTCTGGGCTGGGCATGCCCAATGGTAGACAGTGTCAATGTGCTTAGCTCTCTCAACACCAGGATGCATGTGCATATATACACATTCAAATGTATGTCCACACTCCTTAAGTAGCTTTTCCACATGGTTCTAAGATGATGAAATGGGGCCCACTCCATGCACGTGTGGGCTGGGCTAGGGTTTGGTGGTAGATTTCCAACAAACCAAACGGAAAACAAGGACATCAGGTTGAGCACTAACCTCATCAAACCTTCGATCAGTCCCCGTGACCAAAAGGTTGTTGAACTCTCTTTCCAAGACAGCTCGAGCCTGAAACAGTGAAAAAACCAACAAAGCCTTCATCAATCACTAGGAAGGACACTGGCATAGTCCCCTGCCGAGGACATTTGCATCTAATTCTGACCCACAATTGCATCTAATCTGTGGGTGGACTTGAGGGGAAAGCCATAATAAGTGCTATGCAGATGGCTAGGAGTCCAGGCTAAAGTTGGTGTTCTGTAGAGGAATAGAAATTCACATTTTCAAATATGTCCATGAAGCAAAGAGAACTACATAAAACAATTACCACAGAAGCAAAATTAATAAAACCTCCATGTGATATGCTTGAAAATAGAAAAAATAAAAAGTAAGTATGTGTGTAAGCCTCACTATTACGAATACACACTGGAATGGAGGTTCTCCTTATTTTATTCTAAGTCCCCCAGGCTTGAAACAGAACATGCAGATGAGAGTGTTAAGGCTAAGCCTCTGTTGACTTTGGACATTCTCTCACTAATGAGCTAAAAAAAAACCTTCACTATCCATCCAATGTTAAGCTTTTCCTGAACTCAAGGCGACAAGTGAGCACATGCAATTGCGACTTCTCGAACACTGTGGCGGGGTACAGGCCTGACAGCTCTGAAGTCACCTGTGTATTCTGTGTTGGAATCTGTAACAATAGTGCCAGGGCACTGAAGTCGAAAGTCTCGTCCAAGGCTAGAAGTGCTCCGTGAACACCACTCTCTATTAGATTGTTGGCATACTCTTTAAGGCCAATTGACAGGATCCAGCGAATCACCCGGTCATTGCTCCAAACAAGCACATCTGCAAGAGAATAAAGAAGTGTATGATGGCCTCAGAAATGTTCTGTTCCCCACACCCTGCAGTACAGGAGAAAGGCTCCTGCTATAAATCCTGACCTTGTGCTCCTGAAACAGACCCAAGCCCCAGGTGCCAGCATCACAAATACCACAGCCCTCACATAGGAATCCTATCTAGCCACTCTAAGAACCCACTGGAACTGCTCTATGGAACCCAGGAGAAAGAGAACTCACTGCACTTCCAGGAACAGAATGGGGTGACAGTCTACAAACCCAAGGATGAAAGCAGATTCTTCCCATCACAGAATGAGCCACTTCCATAGAGAGGCTGGACACCTCCCCCCACCTCCCTCCTCTACAAGGAACCAGGACAGTGCTGAGGAGGCTCCCACAAGCCATGCAGCCCATGGTCCTTAGTCTTCTAGGGTGTATTCTGTGTAGCCATGTATCCTGTATTCAAACTTTGCTCAGGTTAAACTTTTTTTTATTTACTTCATGATGTGTCTTAGGGTTACTATTGTTGGGATAAAACATCATGCCCATAGAAATTTAGGGAGAGAAAAAGGTTTATTTGGCTTATGCTTCCACATCACTGTTCATCATTGAAGGAAGTCAGGACAGGAACTCAAGCAGGGCAGGAACCTGGAGGCAGGAGCTGATGCAGAGGCCACAGAGGAGTGATGCTTACTGGCTTGCTCCCCATGGCTTGCTGCGCCTTCTTTTTCTTGTTGTTGTTGCTTTTTCTTTCTTTCTTTTTTTAATTTAAATTTTTTTTTATTAAGAGATTTTCTATTTATTTTACATACCAACCACAGATTCCTCTGTCCTCCCTCCTCCTGCCCCCCAACCTTCTCCCCCAACCTACCCCCCTGCTGTTGCTTTTTCAAGACAGGGTTTCTTTGTGTAACAGCTCTGGTTGTCTTGGAACTCACTCTGTAGACCAGGCTGGCACCCGCCTCTGCCTCTCAAGTGCTGGGATTAAAGATGTGCACCACCACTGCCCAGCGCTGAACCTTTCTTTCTTTCTTTCTCCCCCCCCCACCCCCCCAAGACAGCGTTTCTCTGTATAGTTTTGGTGCCTGTCCTGAATTTCGCTCTGTAGACCAGGTTGGCCTTGAACTCACAGAGATCTGCCTGGCTCTGCCTCATGAGTGCTGGGATTAAAGGCGTGCGCCACCACTGCTCAGCCAAGCCTGCTTTCTTATAGAACCCAGTACTACAATGGGCTGGGCCCTCCCACATCAATCTTAATTAAGAAAATGCCCTTCAGGTTTGCCTACAGTTGGATCTTATGGAAACGTTTTCTCAAATGAGGCTCCCTTCTCTCCAATGACTCTAGATTGTGTCAAGTTGACATAAAACTAGCCAGCACATGACACAAGTATCTTCAATGTTTTCCCCAAAATTTCTTAAGGCAGGGTCTCACTATGGAGCCTCAGTTGGCCTTGAACTAACATGGTCCTTATGCCTTAGCTTCCAGAGTGCTAGGGGTCACAAACATATATCACCAAGCCCCATACTCATCACAGAGAAACTGAAAGACATTATCCAGCACAAAGGCTCTGGAGGCCACACCTTGTGACAGGTACAATACTCCATTAGCACTAATGGAGACCTAAAAATAGTCAGTCTAAAAAGAGGCCCAATCATTTGCAAAGACAGTTCCTGTCAAGTGTAAAAGCCAGTGGGCCACTGAAAACAATGCAGCAGACTCAGCATTCTATCCCTAGGTGCTGCTCTGGAAAAGAGGCCATTCCCAGGATTCACAGGAACTCTACTGAGCAAACTACCCTCCAAATGTGCCATCTCTGGCAGTTTGTTTCCATTTTTCTCTTTCTTTTTTTTTTATTTTTAAACATGCCAGAGTTCAAGCACAGGCCCTCTAACATGTAACACACTAGGGAAAGGCTCTACACTGAGCTACCCCCCTACACACTCATGTGTGCACTCACACATGCTCACGAACACTGGGCTCTCTCACACACATCTTCATCTCTAGTTTTTTTGTGTGTGTGTGTGTTTTCTTATTAAAAACAGTGTTTCTGGGGCTGTGGTAAGCAGCAAAGAGATTAGAGACAGAGACTAGAACAGCATCTAGTGCCCACTCAGCTCAGTACCACTGCTAAGATCACCAATGACCTCCTGACTTCTGAAACTTTCTCCTCGGGCCACTAACTGTCTCTGTCACTGGGGCTGCAGCAGGAAAGAAGGCCCTAGAGGAGAGCAGCCACCCTACAGCCTACTCTTGCAGAACTCTCCTTCTGTATGCACCCCTCCTCCACCCATCTGCTGTCCTCCAAGGGCTGACTGAGGGAGCCTTAGGGCCTCCTGCCTTTCCTGTGCAATCAAGACCCTTGAATACCCCACAGCCCCACATTTCATACTTATCCCAGTGAGAATGCAGCAGACTCAGCTCTGTTCTGCATTTCTAAGTGTTAACAAAGGGCACATATGACCAAAGGATAACTCTAATGTCACAGGAAAAACACCAGAACTGCAGACTGCATATAGGCAAGCTCTCCATCATTCCTTTTCCTCCCTTCTCACATTAGGCTAGTGCATCCCCTAAAGCCTCCGGGAATCCTCTTGGTGTTGCCTGGCAGATGTTCCACCCCACTGAGGCTGGAGCACTGGCCGCAGAAGCCAGCAGGTAGAGAGCTCACCTCTTGTCTCATTCTGACTCTCTTCTCTTTTTCTTTCCAGTTCTTTTCGGTCATAATTCAACCTTCTCAGGCACATAATTCCACACTGGAAACTGTTTCTGTTTACAGAGACACAAAAGAAGAGGTCATGTGGAGCTGACAACGGAGCAAGCCTCGGGGCAGAGAGAAGGCGTAGCAAGTGCCCACTCGCCTGTGGAAGCTGTCGACCATCTTCAGCTGCCCTCGCAGGTCTTTCTTGGTCAGGTGGTCCAGCATCCGGGCATCTACAAGGCACTCCATGAAGTAGCTGCGGTACTGCGGCAGACCCAGGCTGGGCAGCCACTCGTTGCCGATCCACTCGTGGTTCATGTCCCCATATGCTAGCGTCTGCTTTTAGTAAGTGGGTGACGTTAGTTATGGACTAGGAATCTACGAAGAATAAACTAACAACAATACTAGTCTTGGTAATGCCTAGGTGAGCAATCTCCCGTCCCCACCATTTAAACTTCAGTGAGACTGCACACAAAAGGAGTCATTAAAAATCTAGGACTCCTTGCTGAGTTTCCCTATCTAAGGAGCCACAAGGAAACCACAGTCAACTGCAGAGCCCCTTCTGAAACAGCTGTTAATGTAGCAACTAAGAATGACCACGACTCATGAACAAGTTTGAAGGATGGGTTCAACTTGACTCATTAAAATTCTCTCTGGCTGTTCTGACTTTGGTTTTAACACTTTTTCCTAAATGGAATGTTGATTTTAAAAAATCAGCAAAAGTTGATTAGAAAAAAATGTTTAAAGAGACAAATTAACAGGATTAAATGAAGAAAAAGACAAATATACAATTACAAATAAGACTTAAATGCTCCTTCCAAACAAAACCAGAAAGGGTGTGTGTGCTAAAAACTACAGGAAAGCAGCTTTTCCTTGAAAAGACTCAGCACAGTGCAGACTGAAGCAGCAGGAGCAATCAACTTGACCTACTTATGTTTTCCAGAATTCTCCACCCAACTAGAACACTTCCCTTCTTTTCCTTGAAGGGGTACTACCATCCTGCCTAGGATAAGATGCAGAGCCTTACACTCCATCCCACCAGCCTGTGTGGTCCTGGGAAGCCACCATCCTGAAGCATGGCACACCAGTCAACTTTCTAGGTTGAAGTGATCTTCCTGCTCAGCCTCCTAAGTAGTGGGCAACAGATGCACAGCCCATAACCTCCTCCAGAATGTGCTTGGCTTGGTGTGCTGCTGAGACTGAAGCAGGCCTCATGTACACTAAGCACAGCTCCAGCACAGAGCAATACCCCAGCTCAATATGCTTAGAAGTCAAATCACACAGTAGTTTCTGCCTCAGAAGAAAATGAATTAGAATCTGTAATTCCAGTACTTAACAAGGCAGGAGGATTGTCACAAGTTGGAGGTCACCCTGGGCTATATATAGGGCAAGACCTAGTTGTAAGGACAAGCAGGAAGGAGAGGGGGAAAGAAGGAAACCAGCAATTAGCCAAATATGGGGGCACACGCCCATAGTTCCACCTACTCAATAGGCCAATATGAGATGAAGTTTGTCTGAAGTTGAAAGTTAGAGGATAGCCTGGGCAACACAGCAAGATTTTGTCTCAAAGGGATAACTAGCAATGGCTAAAACATTCAAATATCCTCCAAATATTTGTAAATTAACATACTTTAAAACAACAGTGCAAGAGTCTGTAATGCCAGCAAGCCATCAACAACATACTAAAAATAAGACCTGACATGGAGATGCTTATTGTCATAGGAACATACGCTGGGTCAACATTTGGTGAAAAGAATGGGGAAATTTTGCCTCTCGAGAAACTGGAAAAGCCTAACACTACTACAAAGGACACAGAAACACCATGTGAAAGGCTTCCTGCTTCACTGTGGAACATGCAACACTCTGGGAATAGAGTGAATCTGCCTCCACACAGCACAGAGCATCCGAGAAGGGACGAACTGAATGTTTGTTCACACTAACTACCAGCAATGGGTCACCAGCACAAGAAGATACACAAAGCCTGTGAGCAGAGAAGGAAGACAGTTGGTCCTTTCATTCACAAAGGACAAGACCAACTGAGACAGGAAGTCACACAACAGCCACAGGGCTAAGACACAGGTTGTGCTGGGCAGTAAGAACAGGGACCCATTCCTACAGACTAACAACCATCTGGAAACCCTGGTTAAAAACATCATTTCTAATGCCATTAACCCCCATCAAGATGTAAAGCTGTCTAAACAGGTCTGTACCATGGAAAGGAACACACTGCAGGCACAGAGAGAAGGTGACTGGATGCTGGGAAATGAGACAACCTCCTCCCTCTGCCTGTTCACCAGCTCCAGACAAAGTAGAAAGAAGGAGTCAGATCCAACAAGGACATTGAAGCTCTACCAGAAGAACCATTCCGTTACTGTCCCTAAGTACTCTGGGCCATCACGAGATCTCACTGTCCATCAGCACAGGGACCCTTAACTATTTTCTGGCCTGCTGGCTCTGCCTTCTTTGACAGGCAGAATGAGGAAGAATATAAAGAAAGGGCCAAATGAGGCAGCAGCAGCCCATCTCTGAGTGCTTCCCATGCATGCCAATCATGCCTTTGTGGTGGCAGCTGCGGTGAGGGCTCAGTCCAGGGAGCCCCCTCTTCTCTCAGGAGGCTGATACAACCTAGGAAAGGGAGCACACAGAGGCAGGTGGTCTTGGAAAGAGGAGAACCCTGCACAGTAATGATACAACCTAGACTTGAGCTCAGCGAAACAGGGGCTGCAAAGAAGCAGGTCATGGCCACACTGCTTGCTGGTGGTTCTGCAGCGTCCACAGGCTGACTACCTTGGGGGGCGGGGAGTGCAGGTTGACACCGCTACTCTGACAGCTTGATTGGGAAGAGAAATGTGAGGGAGTGATGTGAACCCCCTTTCCACACTCCACTGCAAAGCATGCTGCCCATAGGAGGCTGTTCACACAAAGAACTGGAAACATTTTGCCTGGAGATGTGAGGTATACTGCAATCATCAGAAACAGCCCTGTTGACCACACTGACTACCTATCCTGTAAGGAGCTGCTAGCCAGGCTAAATAATGAATGAATTGACTGCTGAGGTGAGGCAGAGCCCACAGCAAAACCAGACCAGATCCCATGTTCTTTTTCCTGACTCACTGGTGACACTTTGATAAAGAGGGAGGCCACTGCCTGTGGATGGGAAAACTAAGAACATTCCTTGTCCAAGTCCACAGTTCAGCCTCAGCAATGAATGCTGCTAGGATCCAAGGAAGGACCAGCTGTCATTCACCCAACCTGCCTGAATGTGGAGACGGCAAAGCACTGAGGAAGAGCTCCATGGGTGCCGAAGAACTGGGGCACTGAGAATGTGGACACAAGAAGAAGGTTCAGTGGGTAAAGGCACTTGCCACCAAGCCTGAAAACAAGAGAAAACTGACTTCCCCAAGTTGTTCTCTGACCTCGCTATGGCACATGAACACAGACACATAGACAAACACAAATAATAAATGTAATAAAAAACTTTAGCATGAATATGAAAATACCCATGAGACAAGAAGAAGCCTCGCCTCTGAGAATTCCCCTAGTGAGATCTTTAAATGCACGCAGCATTAGAGCAGCATTTAGTAAAACACCAACACAGAGACACAGGAAAAGGCATCATGCCTTTCAGGTTTGCAAATTATTTCACGATTTTTCTACCAGTAGCTCTTGAAACTAAAGTCACTCCAGTAGGGAGTTATGTGCATACTCTTATAAGGTGTGGACTCCTGTGTGAGGGACCCCACATTAACAGAAGCCTATGCTCATGAGGAGCCACTGCCAGGGATCCTGTGAGAATGTTCAAAGTTGTCCATGAGGCGCTGGCAAGCCTGCTCTGGGCTTGTCTAAGGCTTTCAAATCATTAACCACACAGAGCAGACTGGGATGCTAAGAACATCCAGAAAGACAAGTCACACGCGTCCCCACCCCAGATACTTTCTGTTGCCACAGAGTGAAGGTAGGTAGAGAAAGGCGCCAACCTGAGCCCAGCTTCCCTCCTCGTCTTCCTGATGTTACATGGTTAGGAATGCAAAAGAACAAACTGTTAGTGTTTGTAAGCTATGGAATGGCAAGCAGGCAACAGGGACAGCTGGATGTGTGAGCATGCCGGGGTCACAGCAGCATGCAGTCTATGCAGCACCAGCAGCCTGGGGTTTTCATGCAAGGAACACACCCTTTCCATGCTAGCGTATCAGTAAGAGAGAAAAGCTGGGATCCACTGTCACAGTGGGGTGTTAAACTGAGCTCTTTCCCCAGGGAGAATCAATTCTATCTAAATGAGCATGTCTGCAACCTTAAGATACTGGAGAAAAAAACGAAAACAAAAGAAAACTCTAGTTTGCACACTTAGCTGATAACCTAAAGGGACACGTCTCGGAAACAACTGAACATGAACACTTTCATTCCCAAGAGAAAGGCCAAAGCCCAAGCTGGTCTGACACACCATGTGCCCTGGGAACACAGGCTGCAATGACTAACCGTTTGAGGCGTGGCTGTGAGCGTTTCCATCTCTTCATGTGTCAACCAGACATTTCCTGTGGTCTAAGGTACCCAGTGCACCAGCCACGTCCCGGGCCAGGGAAGCATGACAAAGAGGAGAGGGCACACACATAAACTTCAGGCACAGGAGCCTGAGGCAAAGGCCACTCTTCACAGGGAATGACAAAAAGCCACAACAACCCAGCCCTCCGGCCAGCAGCTACCCCCTGCCAGCAACTGGTCAACAGAGAGGAACTCACCGCTTTCAGAGCTGGGCTGCTGTGCCCACCCCTGAGGTATATAACTAAAGAAAGCCCAGTTTAGACTTTCAGAGCTGGGCTGCTGTGCCCACCCCTGAGGTATATAACTAAAGAAAGCCCAGTTTAGACTTTTAGAACTATTTGCTCTCTCAGACCTCCATGCTCACTACCTTACAACAGTCTCACCGGACTGGAGATGGGGCTGAGTGGCTGAGCTGCCTAGCAGGTGCAAGGCCCTGGGTTTGATCCATAGCACTTCCGAAAGGAGCCCCTCCTACAAGCAGCCTCATTTCAATAGCAGTAGAGGCCCCTCTTCCAGCTGGCAGGTATACCAAGTGACCAAGCCAGACAGGCCAAAATTAACCACACTTTGTCCCCTCTGCATCCCTGTTAAGAGCCTGATAAGGGACCAAAATCCCCATGTTTGCTGATGTAAGCTCAAGGGAGGAATCTATGCCTATGCCTCATAGTGTGGGGGGAAGACTTCCAAGCTAGCTGAAATGACGGAAGCTCCCTGTAAGAGCACAGCCGAGGAAGACTTTGGAGGGGCCACAATGAACATGCCTTTCTGACATGAAACTACCAGGGAACAGAAGGGACTCTGGCAACAAAAGCCATTCTCTGGGGGAAGAGCTCTGAGCCTTAGCTGAAGACAGAAGCCCAGTGTTCATTCCACAGAAAACAGAAAAACTTCAACACTTTAACTTTGAACCCTGGGTCAGGCCTTAGGCTGTTGTAGGAAATGTCACAAAGGTAATCCAGGAGTTTTCCAGAGTCACCCAAGCTAAGTCGGGAGTATGGACATGTCTGACGTTTCCCTTTGGTTTTTACAGGAAAAAACACTGTCCAGTGAGAAGAAAGAGTGAATTCTCTAGTGACCAGGAGGGCAACAGCTTTTCCTCACTAGTGCAATCATCTGCATTCAACAGGTGCCTCCAAGGTGCTCTGCAGAGCTCTAACTCCACAGAAAATGCAAGCAGTTCACTCCTCACACACTGCCTTCAAGGCCATGCCAGGGCAGAGTTCAGAGGGAGGAGAGGGACTAGAGTTTACCCAGCAGCACGAGTCTATCTGTTTTTGCCTTGTTCTACTTTCCAGCACCTCCATGCCTACAACAAAAGGCAGGGAGGGAGCTGCCCTTCCTGTCCACACCCACCGAGAGGCAGTGCTGCACATTAAGAGGGTACAATCCCATCTCTCTGACAGACCTGCCATAGGCCCAGCCAGCAGCTGCCCCGGGGCAGTCAGAGACCTTTGATGCCTACAGCTGCACTGTGAAGCAGTCACAGGCACTGGACTGTGTGACCGGCTCAGCAAGTAGCACATTTGTGTGTGAATGCAAACACCAACCCTGTGTGGTCAGGGGTCATCAGACATGAAAGTCAAAAGGCAGGAAGTGCTAGTACAGAGTATGAACTTCCTAAGCTCCTACCCAGAAGCCCTCAGGATGATGGGTACAATAAATGCAAGTGAGGTTTGTAAGAATCAATTTCCACCTTTAAATCTCTCGCTTTTTGGGGTTTTTCTAGACAAGCTTTCATTTTTAACTTGAGTGGGGTCTCAATATGTTGTCCCTGCTGGACTCAAAGCTCTGATCTTCAGACTCCAATGTAGCTGAGATCACAGAGGGCCTCCTCACACTCAGTTTCAGACAAGCTTTCATGAAAGCCTTTGTCCAGTGCTGAGGATGAACCCAGGACCTTTCACATGCTAGGCAAGTACTCTACACAGAGCTATGCCCTAGCCCAAAATTCTTGGCTGTTCTTGGGTCATCCAGAAAGTAGGTGGACTGGTTCATAGCCTTGCAGGAGGTAGTCCTTCCTCCCACAGCATAAGTGCATGTGGACTTACCGTCCTGGATGTGGGTGGGGCAGAAGGGCTGGTCAATGACATGATCTCCTGGATGGCCAGCCGCAGCTTCAGCCTGTGCAAGGGGTTGCTGATGCCAATCTCCCGCTGGATCTCGGTGTCCGACAGGGCCGACATGATGGCGCCACTCTTGACGTTTGCTCGGCAAGCAGCCACATACCATGCAGGCATCCCAACCCAGAGCTAAACACAGGAACAAGAAGGCCAGAACATGAGGCAAGTGTGAGAAGCCTTAGTTGAGTTCTCATAATGCAGCATGTGAAGAGGACGCACCTCCAGCCACACCACCACCGTGGGCCCATCCCACTGTGCGAAAGGCAAACCTTGCCTGCGGGCCTCCTCCAGCAGCTCATGCCTATGAGGGAAACATATTCAAAATAACCAGTTAAGTAGGCATCTTTGACAGCTTTCCAAAGCACAACAGGTCCTTACCACTTCCCTTGAGCTTCAAGCTGCCGGCATCATCTACAGCACACTAGCTTGTGTTTACTACAGAGTGCCTGCGTGAAGAGCTGGCTGATCCCTTGATCCCCACAGAATCTCACCTCTTCTGAAAGAATGACCATCAGCCTCAGGAGCTCCCAGTAGTCGTCATACCTAAGTTCATATAGTGTTGAAGGTAAAACCTAGGTGCCACAGCCTTTTTAACACTGTCCAGAAAGAGAGCATATGCAGGTTGGCAGACAGACACCTAGTGCTGAGTCCTTAAATATATATGAATGGTGCAAAAAAAAAATCAGACATAGTAGCATACTCCCAGTACTCAGGAGGCAGAGACAGGAAGATCTCTGTGAGTTCAAGGCCAGCCTGGTCTACATAGTGAGTTCCTAGACATCCTGAGCTACATAGTGAGACCCTGTCTGGAGAAAAAGAAACAAAACAACAAAACCACAAAAGAATGGTTCAAAGCCCTGGGGAGACAGTGCACTGGGTAAACTGCATCACAGTACACTCCAGGTATGGGTTCTATCCCCACACAGGTTCTTTCTTGCAAATTACATTTCTCCATGTTTGCATGTGTGGCTGCCAGAGATTCCAGAATCTTTTATTTCTAAAGACAAATACTGTGTAATATCCAGCTCTGTAAAACCAAAACCAAACCCCCAAATCCTGGCTCTACAATAACTGCCCAGAGCAGGGCTTTCCCCCAAGTCACAATGTCACAGACAGCTTCAAGCTTGACTTCAGCTATTCTTGGCTCCTACAGTCAATAGCTGCCTTCCACCACTGGCTAGTGGCAGATCCCCAGGACAGCAACATTACCTGTTGTCTCAGGCAGTCAAAATAGCACTTCCCATCTGAAGAATAAATTAGAAAAGAGACAGACAAGTGTGCCCCTGTGGAGCTGACATAGTGAAGGTCTGTAGGATGGACACCAGCCCTAGCTAGGTGGGGGAGCTGATGTCTTGGGGCACCAACTAGTGACTGGGGGACTTTCTGCTTCATCCCGACAAACTCTCCTCAAAGAAAGTTGGTATTACTTATCAAAACAGGCAAAGAAACCACAGGAAGCAGCAGTCACTCCTTGCAGACCAACTCCAAACTTGGAGGACACAGCACAGGGCCCATCCTAGGTATGTGGCCTGGCCATCAAGATTTCTAAGCTAAGGTCACACTGAATGGACTAAGTCCTCTTCAGCTGGGCAGTTTGCTAGGACCTCTGTTATCCAGTAGTAATAGGTCATGCAGAGAACAGGCAGCTAAGCAAGCACACTGCAGCCCTCAGTGGCTACCTGGAGTCTGCAGCACCCTTGGGGTGCCCTGAACTTCCTCCTAGCACTGGAAACTGTGGTGACATATTGTTTGTTATCTAAGAAATAAAGCTTGCCTGAAAAGCAGAGGACAGAGCTAGCCACAGAGTTAGCCATAGAGGTCAGGCAGTGGTGGCACACACCTTTAATCCTAGCACCGGAAGGCAGAGGCAGAGATCTGGATTTCTGTTGAGTTCAAGGCCACACACTGGGCTACACGAGATTAACCCAGTCTAAACGAGAAACAGAGCCAGGCAGTGGAGGCACGCATCTTTAATTCCAGCACTTGGGATCACACACCTTTAATCCCAGCACTAGGAAGGCTGAGACAGGAAGTGATATGGCTGGGCAGAGAAAGGAATATGTATAAGGTAGGAAGAGACAGGAATCCACGCTCTTTCAGGCTCTTCCAGGCTGAGGAGTTGGTAAGGTAAGAGGTGGTGGCTGTGGCTTGCTCTGCTTCTTTGATCTTTCAGCTTTCACCCTGATAGCTGGTTCTGGGTTTTTATTATAAGACCATTTAGGATTTGTGCTACAGGAAACAGCCTTTGCTGGTTCTTAGAGCCCAGGCCACTTGCAGCAGCAGGAATAGTGTAGAGACAGTAGAACATAAACTAGGACATGGAGGACAATCAGTCATAGGACCTGGAAGCAGGACCTGGAAAGGTGGCTAGCACTGGCTTCCCTCTGCCTCCTGAGCCTTCTCTACCAGATAATTTGTAACCTTATAGCCCAAACACAGCTATGCCAAGGCTGGCACATTTAAGTCTCACCAATCATGCGTCATGGGACGGAACATCCATGACTGTAGACACCCAAGTCTAGTTGATTCAACCCTGAGATGTCTAATGACAGAAATGTTACCTCCCTCCTCTCCACTTCACATGGTATGGGGCTGACCCCTTGGTCTTCACAATACCTCCCAACCCAGTCAGTTTTCCCATGTGGGACTTCTCCAGACTCACCCGACTACCAACAGCCACTTTCTAGCTAAAGAGCCACTCCGCCTTTCTGCTCTATATAACTATCAAAATAAACGTGCTAAGAGAGGGGTGTGACTGCTCACGCTTATAATCTAAATACTTGGGAGGCTAAGGCAGGATTGCCATGATTTAGAAGTCAGCCTGAGACACACAAGACCCTGTCACACAAAGCAGAGAGGGCATTTAACCCTCACCAACATTTATTTTCTTACTAGTCAATTTTCCAAGTAATAAAAACTCTTTTAGCCACTGGCCCCAAAGCTTAAAACACAGTGACCAAAGTAACAAAAATCTTTAAAAAATCTTTTTGGGGGTGGGGGTGGGGTATCATGTATGTACTCTCTATGTAGACCAGGCTGGCCTGACCTGTGGGCAGGATTCAGATGCCAAAGATGGGTTCTGGAGCATGCCACCTCAGCAAGACACTTTCCACAGTGGCAGAAATCCAGGCAAATGCCTTCTATGTGTCATAAATGCTCCCTCCTTTAAGAAGTGTGGGTTAAAAAAGGCTGTAGTTGCGTGCGTGTGTGTGTGTGTGTGTGTGTGTGTGTTGGAGGGGTATACATGTGTACCTGCTGTTCGTGTATGTGGGTACCTCAACATCAGGCATCTTCCTTTATCAATCTCTACACGACTTTCTGAGACAGGGTCTCTTACTGAACTTGGAGCTTGCCCGTTTGGCTAGACTGGTTGGCCAGCAAGCTCCAGGATCTTCCTGTCTCCACTTCCCTTCCCCTCAGTATGGAGTTATTTTTTCAGAAGGCTATGCATATACACAGCTGTGCACAGAATTTGGTATCAGCTGAAACCTAAACACCATTTACTGACAACTGCCTCATATGGAGACACAATGAGCAGCTTACTTTTTCTGAAGTTTACGGGTTTTCTCAGCTTGTCCTCCCAGTTTGCTGAGTCCCAAGGCATCTTGAGATGAATTTTCTGTCTCTGAAACACCAGCTACAAGGAAGCAGAGACCCCAGACTTAAAGCAATCAACATGGCAGAGCAAAGTCCCGGTCTGCTCTCTACAGGCAGTTAAGCTCACACCAAGAGCTATTTCTGACCAAACAGCCCAGCAAACTGCTTAAGACAAGACACCTGGTGTATCTGAGATGCTAGCCACTGCTCTTTGGGTCATGTATCTACCACCTTCTAGGGCCCACACTCTAGAGATAATGTCCAGCCGCATGGTGGCATATAGAGAATGGGCAGACACAGCAGGCACCCAAGAACACCTCACATCCTTGTTAAGATGCTTATTGCAAGCCAAGTGGTGGTGGCACATGCCTTTAATCCCAGCACTGGGGAGGCAGAGGCAGCCTCTGTGAGTTCCAGGCCAGCCTGGTCTACAGAGCAAGTTCCAGGACAGGCTCCAAAAGCTACACAGAGAAACCCTGTCTCAAAAAACCAAAAAACAAAAAAAACAAAAAAAAAAGATGCTTACTGCAGGGGCTGGAGTGATGGCTCAGTGGTTAAGAGCATTGGCTGCTCTTCCAGAGGACCAATCACCCACATGGCAGCTCACTGTATATAACTCCAGTTCTAGAGGATCCAAACCCCTCACATAGACATGCACTCAGGCAAAACACCAATGCACATGAAATAAAAATTTTAAAAAAGAAGCTTACTGCAAACCTACCAACCTTGTCCTGGTGATTCCTTGCCCAGTGGCCCAGGCCGGCCCTTTTCCTTCTTGCCAAACAAGCGGCCAATGGAGGACTTGATGCCCTTCTTCTTTGGGGCTTTGTGGAGGGAGTCCTGGCTACTATTACTGCTGCTAGGGTTGCTCACAGGACCCTCCTGGGAGCCTGTGGAGCTTCAAGGAAAGAAAATGGATTTTTATCAGAGCTGTATCACAACATGGGAGTCCACGCACAAGCACTGTAACACTTTGCTGGGTTGTTTTTGAGACAGGCTCTCACTCTAGCCTAGGCTGGCCTGGAACTCAAGACAACCCTGCCTCAGCCTTGAAAACATTAGGTTTATAAAGACATAAGTCACCACACCCAACCAGACACTGTACATTTTTAACAACTGCTCCTCAGAGTTCCTAAGATTCACTAAGTCTCTCACAGCACACTGTTCAGGGACAAAGACTGCCAAGAATGCTCAGAAGGAAGCCTGCTGGTTCTGAAAGCCCAGCTTCTCCAGAACTTGAAGCTCCTCTGAAGAGGGGGTCTGGACTCCAATTGGCTCCCCCACCCTGCTCAGGACAGCACAGAAACTATGCCAACTGTAATGCAATGACTGTCTATCACAGCAACCAAAAGGCTCTTGGTTTCCTGACAGGAAGCGTTAATAAAGAGGTGGGGAAAACATGAACTGCCTAGCAACTTGGGAGACCCAAGAAGGCAAGAGAGTATGAGAAGCCAGGCTGTCAGTGAAGGGACTCTGGCCAGCTCAGGCGTGGCGAGCATGACTCCGGTGGGCCTTGCCCTTCTCTACCATTCCCTCTGCCTTGCTAAAAATCATTAGAGTACATCCCTAAAGCTAGTCACCAAGGTCTATTCCCTTATTTGGTCACTTCCTCCTCCTGAGGCTGACTACCAAGGTCCAGCTATCCAAGTATTGAAGTCCAGCAATCAAACCTCCTCTTTGGTTCACCTAATTAACCTGCCCAATCAAAATTAAACACCTCATCCTAACATGAGGCTTCCCCTTGTACCCTGTACCTTCATAAACTGCCATTTCCCTGTGTGCCACATCTGTCCCCTCTCTATCCAGAGGGAGTTCTTTGTCCCCACTCCAGGACAAATACCCCTGCCCTCTTCCCTTCTCCCTGTCCTCTATCTCTTGTGTTTGTCTCTTATTCCCCACCCCTGTCCATCTGGAGCAAGTAACTCTCCTTTGTGCTGAGAACTTGTTCTTGGGGGTCCTGAGCCATAACTTTTCCTTTCAGTCGATAGAGCGGTACCATCCAGAACCACACAGGCACCTGTGTGTGAACAAGGCAAGGTCCTGGAGCACCATTCTGTGCAATGTTTCCCAGATAGGACCCTCTGCTGGAAACTACCTGGGACAATGTCAGTAACTTCAACTGAATAACCTGGAACTCTAAAATCTGTCTTTTTTTCCCAAGGTATAATTCCTATTCTTAAACCGCAGCCAAGCACAGCTCCACCCAGGGCTGCTGTCCTCAGCCCTGCTCCTTACTTCCTCAGGTCCCTGATGTCCTCATGGCTGAGCGTGTGCAGTGCGCCCTTGTGCAGCCTGTCTAAGCGCAGGGGCCTCGGGGAGGAGGGGGGAGAGGTTTCACATTTTATTGTCGTCTTGTCGTCTCGTACCTCTTCTCTGGAAGCTGGCAACTGAGGGCAAGACAAAGACAAGAACAGTGAACAGGGGACTTCTTGCTAGCACAAAAAGACACATTCTTCTGTCTGTGGTTTTGCTCTGAGATGGGACCTTGTGAGTGAACTACCTCTGCCTCCCAGTGCTAGGGTTACAGGTGGCACCATTGTGCCTGGCTAAAAGGCTGCATTTTAGTTCACACCATCTTGAGGACTGCTGTTCCTCAAGGGCGCCAAACAGCGCAGAGCAATGTGATTCACAGTCCATCTCCCCGGGAAAAGTATGAAGCAGGCAGGCACAGGTCACCAACAACTCCTCCCTGAAGTCTAGGCACATCAGAGGCCAATGCCCAACAAGGCAGCCAAGACCTGATCCATGCTACCAACTGTGTCCTCACTAATACAACTGACCAGGAGCTTTTGACAGTCCTCATCGGACCACTCCATGGGAACACTGAGGAGACAGAGTCTTCCCTAGCAAGTAATCAGCATGTTCCTTTCTGGGGGTTGGGAACACATAGAACACCTAGAGACCATGAGCTATACCCATGTGCACAGCTGCATTTCTGGGTATTTGGACTGCAGGCTATAAGTGGAGACATGAATGCAGTTAAGACCTTTGGTTGAGATAGAATAATCCTGCGAACGTCATTAAAATGGCCATGAGTATATATTGAAGGACACGGGGCAGAGGGTCCACAGATTCACCCCATTGGGTCCTATGGGTACACCTGCACTGTCTGGTTCTAAAGCAAGTTAGATAGATTTCATGAAGCATGGCAAGCATCTGCATGCACAGAGGACTGGCAGTTGACTGCTGGAATGGTACTAAGGAGCATTGGTCCTACTGTAGCCCCATCCGCTCAGGGCCAGGCTGAGCTGAGGCAGCTCAGGACATTCACTAGCCAGTAGCAGATACACTCTGCATCTCTCTGTCTAAGATGATCTCAAACCAGCAGTGGGCATCATGGGCCTGGGCCAGGCTCTGAAAGGCACATGCTCAGCATGCAGGAGGCCAGGATTCCATCACCTCTTCCCCAAAGCCACCATGCCTAGAAACTTTGGAGAAAATGTTAACAGCTTAAAAATGAAATCATTATTTAAAGAATTGAAGCTTGGGAGCAACCTACATGCTGGGGAGGCTATCATGCTCCTTAGCAGAGCCTCACCCACAACAGTTCCCAAGCTGGTCCCAAAATCCTGACAGATCCCAGGTGGACCCTCTGTGCTCCTTCAGAAAGGGATGGCACTAGGATCCCTACTAAATTCACTCTTCAATGTTACCAAGTAGAGAAGTCACCTTAGCTTGCCAGTGGTACTAAAGTAGAGGCAGGGTACACCACAGTCCAGCATCCAGCCCATGTATGGCTCTGTAGATTAGGTCACTATGCTGGAGTGGGAGTGTGGCTCACAAACTGCTTCTTCACTGACACAAGCCAGCAGAGATGAAGAGTGCACTGTGCAGGGTAACTGAGGAGTTGTGTCACTGAGCCAAGTTGCCAACTTGAGTGGCATGGTTTATTTGGTTGGGGGTTGAGGGGTAGGTCTTGCTTTCTTTCCCAGTCTGTCCTGGAACTTGTGACCTTCCTGTCTGGACATGAGCATTGTGTGAGCAGCACAGGTGCATCACTTTTTTTTTTTTAACTTAAGAAAGAAGGCAACAAACCACAGCATCAACATACAACACTCATTGGCAAACTCATCAATGGCAGGTAGAATGGAAGCCACAACTGCTCTACAGTGCAGCCAGCTAGGAAGGCTGATGGCAGGGCAGAGCTCCTGGGTTGGAGCATGGAAGATAAGAGGTAGAGTGTCTAGAGCAACCATCAGAACAGCTACTGCCAGCTCTTCCCAACTCTGCCCAGCATGCTACACTCACACTAATTTCTAGATACTGCCAGGGAATCAGGGCAGCTGGCAAAAGGCCCGAGGGCAAACTGGCCACCAGCTCAGCTTTTGAAGCCAGACAAACCTGAACATACACCTGTAACCCCACACCACGAAACAGAAGCTTTAGCTTCCACACTCATAAACAGTGACTATGGTGAACTGTATCCCACATGGATGCATACAAGAGTTTAAGACAATGGTTCCAGTGCTTGGGAGGCTGAGGCAAGAGGACTGCTGTGAGTTGGAGGCTGAGTTCCAGGACAGGCTAAGCTACAGAGTAAGACCTTGTCTCAAAGAAACAAAAATTGTTAAAAATAAATAAAAAGATAATGCCTTGGCCACACACTAGGCCCATGCTTGGCATGAGCATGAGCTTACTGTGTGCCAGTCCCAGCCTTCCCCAGGGCACACCCCTGCCTGAGGAACTCTTGTCCTCAATGCTGAACAGCAGAAAAGCATGCAATAATTAGACATAGACGCCCCTGCCCCAGTATTTCAGGAACAGGCTTCCCACATGACCACCAACATGACATGCAGGGTCAAACTAAACACTGTGGGGAAATGTCAGTTACTTCTCTTCACATTACAGTAATGTGTCACTCATGGAGACACAGGGTGTGTAAGGTCAGCATGTGATTTACCTGTCTCCGGTGCTTCCTTAAGTCACTAGGCTGACAGATGCGTGTGAAGAAAGGAGAAAGAGAGCAGGTTTACTGCACATGTGTGGGAAAAGACTCAAGGAGCAGTGAGGCAAATTGCTAAGCAGGCCGGAAGGACACACACAGGTTGAGCACTGAGAGGAAACATCACTGGAAATAAACATTCTCAAGACAGTTAAAAAGTATGCAGATTTCCCAGGAGGCAACACTAATTATTACTTGGCTAAGAATGAGTTTGAACACAGGCAATGTATTAAAACCCAGCATTCCATGTAAGCAGGACTCTAATGACCCTCACTCGAAGCCAGCCTCTCTGTCACTAGTTGCAAATACATGAGATTTTAATAAATTCCATCAGAGCTATTGCATTATCTATTATAAAGTTAAACAAACCTGCTTTGAGTTAATTACCTACTGGACATTAACCTGAAGTCCTTACCTAGAATGGGATTTACAACTTTTCAAAAATATGCTAATTGTTTTAAGCTGTAAGAGCAACCCCCCCATCCTGCCCCCATGAAAAGATGTAAGAAAAGCTAATGGGGTACCAGGGAGAGCCTCTACACCTTAGCACATACACAGCATTAAACATAAGCGTTTATCAAAGCCAGCAAGTCTGTCAGCAGTTAGCTGAAAGCCATGTGACACCAGAACCAGTACCACATAAGGTGGGTCACCTGGGCATACAGGACTCTCTCCCTTGCAGAATCACAGACCACATACCCCTTCCTGCCTTTGTCCACATGCAGGAAACAAGAGTAACAGAGAATGCATTCTTATCATGAAAAAGCCCAACAATGCATTCTTCCAGCCTACTGCCGCAGATATGCACTTGGGTGCCTGATCATCTGCAGGAGCTGGGGGTGGGGCTGCCACAGTGTAAGGTGCTAGATGGGCAGACAGATAGGGATCTGGGGTCAGGATCAGACGGAAGTAGACTGACAGCCAGCAGGTGGACAGTCTTAAAACTGAAAAAAACCCACACAGCTATTCCTACAAAGTATTTGGAAGGAGGATGAAGCCACAGATCACGCCATGAAAGTTAAGATTTTACTCACCGCACTAATGAGACATATTACACAGTGCATCAAAATACAAGAGACTATACTATTCAACAGCCCATTAAAATGATTCCACTGATTTAGTTACATGTTCACTGTCAATGTCATGGCAATTGCAAATGAAAGCAGCAGCAAAAGAGGTAGAGCACAGCAGGGTGGCTGGGGTACACCGAGCTTAGTATGTGGGGGGCTCTTAGGATCACACACACACTAAACACTCAGAAGTCACTGTGCACTCTGAGATCCGCATACCTGGGTCATAGATATTCTAAAATGAAATTGCTCCCAAGTTAACCAGTCAAGATCCCCTCTGCTTCAGTTTCATAGTCTATAGGTCTCCTGAGTGGCCCTTGTGCCTCAGAGCTTAGAGACACCCCTGCTGTGAAGGGATAGGGACTCCTTTACACATCTTTTTTAATGTATTGTAGATGGAAGCTAGGTCTAGTACTCCACCACTGGCCTCCATCTCAGGCTTCTGTATCTCTTCCCACATGCTGTAACACCTCTCCACAGTCACGTCTGCTGAAACAGGCAGCATAGCCCCTTCTGGCTTGCACCAGACTTCTGCCTAGCATCCCACAACTAAGACCAGATGCTGGCCTGGTCACCTAAGTATTATAACTAATTTGCATTGTTGACTAACTATAGCCCTAGCTAACCCAACTCAATATGTAGACCAAGCTGGACTCAAACTCACAGAAATCACCTGCCTCTGTCTCCACCCCTTCAGCTTTTATAATCTGAAACCTCTTAGAGGAAGATGTGATTTCCATGTGTAACCCTTCCCCAGCAGGCTGAGGTAGAAAAGGCCCCACTTACCAGAGTCATGACACCCAGCCTGTCCACCTCCCGGGCAGGACTGTGAGGGACTCTTCTTGGTGTGGACCGACCACTGCCTGGAGGAGAAGAGCCAGCAAGCGAGGAAGCAGGGTAGGGGGGGATAGAGCTCATTGATCTAAAACGACCAAGATTGTCCAAGCTTCCACTGCCCACTCTGCTCTCGATCTCCTCTGCTCGCTGCTCTGTATTCTCCTTCTCTTCTTGTATCAGCCTAAAATCCAAACAAGAGCAGTTGGCCTTATTTCATCAGGAAGCTCTGTCTGTGCAGGCAGAACAAGCCGAGTCTGGCTGGGGTGGGAGTTCTGTATGCGAGCCCAGCAGCTGGAGGCTACAGTGGGAGGAGGTGCCTTCAAGATCAACGTGGGCTACAGCAGGAGACCCTGTACCTAACAGCAGAACATTTGTCTCCCTCCATTGACAGCTAGAATGTTCCTATGCTCGCTCTTAACACAGGCGAAGGTATGCTAAGCACTGGATAATGGAAGGAAGCCCAACTGTTTCTTGTCCACAGCATGGTCAAGTCACCACCTCATCTTACACACCAGTACCTTGCATGTCCTGTGTCTGGCCTTCCAGGAATAGCTCTGGGTAGGAGAGGAGTGATCTGGGCCCTGTTGCTCTAAGCATGGAGGGATGAAAGTTTCACCTCCCCTAGCAAGGTGCAGGAAGGTGGCCGGGCTGCCAGAGGTAAAGGCTATCTCAGAAGCCCAAGTGCTCTGCTGCGGAGGGTGTAAAGGGATGCTGATCCCACCTATGCTTTCCCATGGAAGTGAACTCCTGCAAGACTTATCTCTTGAGTTTCCAAGTGTCCAACACACTAGGCCTCGTCAGAACACCCTCACACCTGTAGAGTATCTACTCTAGTCTCCTCCCCATCTCCTGCCTTCCACCCGCACACCACAATATCCACTCCAGTCTCCGCATCCCCTTCACCTTCTACTTCCTTTTTGTTGCTCTTATTTTGAAACAGTTCCATGTAGCCCATGCTGGCCTCAAAATTGATTGTAGTCTAGTCTGGCCTTGAACTACTGCTCCTCCTGCCTCCACCTCCCAAGTTCTGTGATGACAGATGCATGCCACTGCCCCTTGTGTCTCTTACAGATCAAGTACATATGTAATACATATATATATACACCTGATCTCTTTGTTGATGGCATCCAGCTGCTCCTGAAGCATCATGGCCAGTGTCTGTGCATCAGCCTGCCCACTGGGTGACAGCAGATCAACTGAGCTGAGCAGAGTTTCTCTGTCATCTTCACCATCGGACACATCCACATCACTCTCAAATGCCTGTGCCACATTTGCCAAGACGCTGGCTTGTTGGGCCCGTTCCCAATCCTGTTCGTTGAGGGTCTGTACCTACCAACAAGAACACTATGTCTCAGCAGACGAGTAACAGCAAACACTCTAAGAGCAGGAAAGGCTGCTATCAGAAATGTGAATAGGTTTACTGCAGGCCAAGGCTTTAGGAAGACACTCATGCACCTGAGCTGCTGCTAAACAAGAGGCACCTGACAGACAGGGAGGCTGAGCACTGTAGAACACACCTGTAATGGAAGCACCTGAAAGGTGGATTCAGAGATGGGTGTGGTTTTGGGGGCCAGCCTGGGCACATGCTGAGCCTGTCTCAAGGTGAGAGAGCAAGCCTGCATACTCTGATATGGATGCACTGCACATTCAGTATCTACACTCAGGTAACCCACTTTAGTGGAAATTAAAAAAAGGAAGCCTAGTGGCACATGAAGGGACATGTTCACCTGCCATGGAATGATGCACTGGGTGTGAGCTTCCCGAGCCTGGTACAGACAAGCACCAAGAAAAGCCAGAGGAGGAAAGCAAAGCAGGCACCTGAACACAGCCAGTGGCCCATGTGGAGATCCCAGGGGAAGGACTATACAGAGGAGACCCCTGTTGTGATCACTGCCCACAGCAGCCAGTGTTAAATCCTCCTGGTGGTTAATGAATGCCCTTCTCTCCCCTCCCCTCCCCACTGCTGCACTCCCTCCCTACTCTGTGGATGGAAGGTCAGGGCTCATGCCTCCAGAGACACCACACCCACTGTGGCTTCCATGCAGACTTCCCACCAGTGGCACCCTCTCTCAGCTGGCTCATCCCCTCAGATAAGAACAGCACCCCCATCTCTCATCTTGAAACCACAGACAAAACTCACAAAACATTACCCTGCCCCAACTTCCTGCCACCCCACTTCCTTGTCCATCCTCAAAACCTCTCCAGCAACTGCCATCTGTCTCTGTCCTTCCACTCGAAAGGGCTCACTCAAAGTGGGCAGAGTACCTCCCTCCAGAAGAGCTGCTCCAGGGCAATGCCAACCAGCCCTTACCAACCATTTTGCCCTCTGTTCATCTGCTTATCCATGGTGTCAGCCCACACAGGCTCAGGCTTAGCTGCTGTTCTCCCTGGATAGGCTGTTCAGCTAGCCCCAGACCCCACCCCTCCTGGCTTATCATTCTCCTAGCCTGTAACACTCAGTGACAGTTGGCTACTCTAAAGTCCAGGTGTCCATGGTACCCAACTGCCTCCTGCTATTTATCCTCGACATACTCCAGCAATTTGAAAATATATTCCTCTCTCCAAGTGGAGGACAATTCTATGGTCCCCATGTGGGTACAGACCATAATGATTCACAGTACTGGAGGGAATATAGCTGATGAAAAGGCATGTGGTTTTCCCAGACCAGGTGGTGAAGGACCTGGGCTTCCTCCTGGCTTTCTTCAAATGTGAGCTCTGAAGAGAGCCAGCAGCATACTGCTAGGAACTCAGGGAGTCCATGCAAGTCCTCAGCAAGGGCTTGAAGCTTCTGTCCCACACTAAGTCTACACTTCGAAGCCTTCCCCATCTACAAGCACCTGAGGCCTTGAATCCTGCTGCTCCTGAATCCTGAAGCCCATGAACTGCACATAGCCATGCCATCAGCACAGAACTCCATTGAACGTACTGTACTATTCACTGCTTATAGCTGTGCACTACTCTTGAACTAACTCATGGCAATCCTCCTGCCTCAGCCTCTTGAGTACTAGGATTACAGGTGTGTGCTATGCCACTACACCTGGCATCATTTACTTTTATTTACTACTTCAAGTACATACTAATTAGCATTAACTTAAAGGATATCTTATTAAAAATTCTGTTCTTAAAGTAAGAACTAAAACCAAAAAGCAAGCATACCCTAAAAGCAAGCTCTTAGCCAGAAAAGCCAAGGAAAGGAACATGGGGGAAGAAGGAGACCGAGAGTCTGTCCAAGAGGAACAGGTGACGTTCCGCAAGCGGAGGCCTTGCCTTGGAGGGCTCGTCCCGCAGCGCCGCCAGCCGGCCCTTCTGGGGGCGCCGCAACACTGCACTGGTGCTGTAAGCATCCACATGCCCGTCTGCCACAGGGAACCTGAAGTCCGGGATGCTGCCCAAATGGGGTCGGCTGAAACATGGGAAAAGGTGGGTATCAGAAGGAAAGTAAAGTGTCAAGTTGGAAAGGTCTCCAAGGAGAGTTCCCTTGAACCTGCCTAAGAGCTCTCGGCTACCCAGTCCTGGCCAGAAAAACCTACTCACTACTACAATGGGAGGAAGGGTGGGTGTGGACACCTGAGGCCCATCTGAGAGCCTCTTCTAGGTCAAGGGCACACCTAGGCACCACTGTTGCCATCACCTGCTCTGTTGGCCTTTCTGCTCTGCCAAGTTCAAGGTGTTGGTGACAGCGCTCCTGGGAGGAGCTAGAAGCTAGGGCTGCTTAACACAGCAGTGCACAGACAGGCGCAGGGCTCAAACCCTGGGCTGCTTAACACAGCAGTGCACAGACAGTCGCAGGCTCAAACCCTGGGCTGCTTAACACAGCAGTGCACAGACAGGCGCAGGCTCAAACCCTGGGCTGCTTAACACAGCAGTGCACAGACAGTCGCAGGCTCAAACCCTGGGCTGCTTAACACAGCAGTGCACAGACAGGCGCAGGGCTCAAACCCTGGGCTGCTTAACACAGCAGTGCACAGACAGTCGCAGGGCTCAAACCCTGGGCTGCTTAACACAGCAGTGCACAGACAGGCGCAGGCTTCAAACCCTGGGCTGCTTAACACAGCAGTGCACAGACAGTCGCAGGCTCAAACCCTGGGCTGCTTAACACAGCAGTGCACAGACAGTCGCAGGCTCAAACCCTGGGCTGCTTAACACAGCAGTGCATAGACAGTCGCAGGGCTCAAACCCTGGGCTGAAGAATCTCGACAAGAGGGGACAAGGATGAGCAACCAAGAAGGAGCTGAGCACTGGGGGTTCCTACAGACAAGGTGTAGAGAGGAAGCAGAGCAGTAGGAGCTCAACCTCAGCGTTCACCTTTCCCTCCTCCCAGTGCTGCCCCTAAAACTTCCTGGGAAAGAAAGTAGATGCCCTCACTTCAGAACTCTGCCAGAGGCCAAGAACAAAGGATTTATGCGGAGTGGGGGGAGGGGGCGCTCAGGGATAGCTTGGGGAAACTCCTGCACACAGGACCAGTGGGACTTGCGATCTCATCCTTTTCGGCATCTCTGAGCCCTCATCTTCTCCATGTTTTAAAGACATGAGACTCATGGCTTCCTTTCTAACTCCATTTCCTTCCCACTTCCCACCTCTTATTCCTCAGGAACCTGCTGTCTCAACATGTCCAGTCAGAGTTCCAAGCTGAGGAGATGAGCACAGCTCTGTGTTAACTGCAGGTAGCTCTGGGATCTCAAAGCTGTCAGCCCTCCTATTCTTCATGGTGTTTTCAAGTTTAGCTCCACCAAGTCCACTCCTCACCTCTCTCCACTCAGTGGGGCAGACCACAGCAATAGGACTTCCCTCACTGTCAAGTCCTGTGAAACTAGCCAGTGGTCCCCACTAGCTGCTCTGTGCCTGAATTCCTCCTACCCAGGGCAGGGCCCCACCCCTTCAAACAAGCCAGCTCCTCTCTGTTCTGCCCAATGTCTCAAGGCCATGGGAAAAGACAGTGAGCTCCCAGGGCCACACTGCTCTCCTGTCTCCTGAACTCTACTCTGCAGGCTACCCAGATATGGGCACACTTTCCTCCACATTAAGCCCCCTTCAACTCCTTTCCTTCCTCTCACATCTAAAACTCCTTGTTAAAGGAGGTCACACATTAGCCAGCTGTGATGGCACACGCTTGAATCCTGGTACTTAGGAAAGGTGGGAGGATCATGAATTTGAGGCCAGTCTGAACCACAAAGGAAGACCCTGTTTCAATAAAAGAAAGACGACTCAGCAGTTAAGAACAAGTAGTGCTCTTCCAGAAGACCTGAGTTCGGTGCCCAGCACCCATGTCAGGTGCTCAAAACTGCCTGAAACTCCAGCTCCAGATCCAATGCCTTCTTGTGGCCTCTGTGTGCACTGCACTGCACTGCCCGCATACATGATTAAAAATAAAATACATCTGTCTAAAAAAAGAGAGGACGTCTCTTCCGGTGCTGCTTACGAGCTCCCAACAGCAGCACGTCTGCTGCTGCCACAGTACTGGCACTTGCCTCTCTCCGTCACTGTAGCCATGACTATTCTGTCCCCGTGGCCCTTTTCATCTCTTCCAGTGCAGTGACCCACCTCTCCCTCTGGCTTTGCATTGAGGGTTCCTGGTTCTGTATGGCACCTCTCCTGGTGTGAAGTAGGCCAGGTAAAGAAGCTGCAGGAAGCCTAGCTTGTACAACATCACAAACTCTAAGTGCAGAGGCATCTGCACAGACCCCACACTGTCTTCTTGCCTGCTCCAAGAGGAAGTCTGTTTGTTGCCCCATAGTGTCACCAAGTGACCACCTCAGTAACGTTTACTGACGATCAACTCTCATAAGAAATGAACCCAAAAGAGTAAGACCCAACAAGAACTGCTTCTACAAGACAGGACAAGAGTGCTTTAGGGCTATGCACTAAGTGCTGTGGCCTTGTCAGGAGTTGAGTCACCCCACAGCAGCAACACAGTGTCCTTTCACAAGAAAGTCACAAATGCAGCACCAAACCCATGAGCAATATGGATTCTGAACAGCTGCAGTGTGACTTCTCTTTGAGGCCTGTCCTTCTGCTCCAATCACGTTTTCTACCCTGACCCCTCCAATGGGCACCCCAGTCAGCATATCCAAACACCAAGGGACCTCTTCCCACCTTCTGAAGCTCCATTGTGCTGCCCACAGAGGCAGCAACAAGCCCTTGTGCACGCACAGGGCTGAAAACTCGCCCATCTGTGACCACCATACCCGTGATGAAGTGAAGGGCCTCTCAGTCTCATCTGGTCCAACTCGGCCCTCAGGGCTTCAATATTCAGGACAAGTTGGTCCTAGAAAACAGTAAATAGCTTCTATGACAGCTCTCTCCTAAGGACTGGGCACCTGTAAGGTGCATTTCAATTCTGAAAACACTTCCTGAGTCCTACAGCAAGCAGAACTCATTCTCCAAATCCACAGATGTCCTAATGAATGAAAAGCAGGGCTCCCGGTTATAGGAGAGTTAGGACAAACGCTGAAACGTAAAGTGTACTGACTGTATAAAGGACTCGCCCTTCCTAACTCACAGTCTGCCAGGTCTTATCATCTCCCACTCCCTCCCACCCAGCAGATCCCTGCTGGTCCTGTCTCTTACAAGAGGCCCATGCTAATGTTAGGCAGACCCCCAACTCCCCAAGGACCCAGGGTTGGAGACCATGTACACGAAGTGTTCAGCATGTTTGCTGAGGGCTGCAAACTGTGAGGACTAAGAGAGCTACTAGGAGGGTTGGTCTCGATCCTTCCAAACACCTGCGCTCCCTGTCACTGCAGTAACTCACATCAGCTCTTCTGGGACTTCTCACTGAGTGGAGAGTGAAGTACCTTATCATGCTGCGTCTCTTCCAGTTGCTTCTTTGCATTTTCGACTTCCCGCAGTAAAGAATTCTGAAGAAGAGAATGTCCTTCAGGGTTGGTTCTTTAAAATGGTCCACAGAACATAATAACTGCACTTGCTTAAACCAGAGAGCAGGCCTGAAAGAAGGGCCTGGCCATGGGAGGCACCAAGAGCAAGGCCACAGCTCACTCAATCAATGTCAACCACGAGTGAGGTCAGATGCTGGCCTGTCTGTTTCTGTGTACAATCTATTTCTTCACTAACCAGTCTTAAAGTAAGCCTGCCACATTCATAGTGCAAGGGCTTTTGCTGATGCTGGTTTGTTTTTTTTTAAGAGAGTCTTATTCTGTAGATCCAACTAGCCTGAACCTTGCAGCAATCTTCCTGCCTCAGCATCTAGGATGACAGGTACGAACCATCATGCTTGACTTGATTTTCAAATTTGTTTCATAACCTCTTGCAAGTGGTCTACAGTTACTTTGGATTTGGGCATTCACTGGTCACTTAGGAAACACAAAACTAAGTTTCACATGTTAAAAGACAAACTCATTCCTATCTAAAGGAGGCCCTTGCATGCCTGTAGTCTCAGACTCTGGAGGCTGAGGCAAGAGGATCAGGAATTCAAGGCTATTATTAGACCAAGACTATTAGTGTTCCTGGGCTATTATTAGAACTATCTAAAAGAACAAAGAACTTTTAAACACTTCCCCATAGCCTAGGACGATGCCCAGGCCGTCAAGAGAGTCAGAGGGACTAGTCTGCATGGTCGACTGACAGCACTCTCCAATCCTCTCGCAAGTACCCACAAGTCTCCACCAGCACAACCCCATTCGAGTACCATCCTAAGTATGTTTCTCAAGAGATGCAGCATACTAGGACAGGCCCTCTCAAGTCTGAGCCCAACTACTGCTCAACAGGCCTCTCTGTGGAGACCCACACCTCAATGTACTCTGGGTCATCTGGGTCCCTCCTAGAAGCCAGGCTTAGCCTTCTTCCAAACCAAATGAAAGAAAGGCAATTGCTGAAACCCGGGAGTACCTGAGTTGAGCTCCTGAAGTGCTGCATGTGTACTGAAAAGGAAACTGACTCCCAATCAAAGTGTAAGTAAGGGTGAGGTTTGGCTAAAGCTAAGCCCTAGTATAGGTGTCTGTGGGCCAAGCTAGCTAGAGCCCATTTCTGTCAATAAATTTGAGAAAAACAAATTTCACTGTGCTGGCTAATTTTATATCAACTTGACATAAACTGGAGTCCTTGTCAGAGAGAAGGGAGCCTCAATTGAGAAAATGACTCCATTGGATCCAGCCATAGGCAAACCTGTAGGGCATTTTCTTCATTAGGATTGAGGTGAGAGGGCCCAGCCCATTATGGGTGGGGACACCCCTGGGCTGGTAGTACTGGGTTCTGTAGTGTGATATTCAACAGATCCATTCTATCTGGCTTGAATCTGGGAGTGATGGCACCTAGGCTTTGAAGTAACCTTTTGTAAATAGTCAATGATTGTTATCTGAAGGATTGTTATCTTTTGAAGGATTCACAGAGCCTTTGCATAATTTAGTCTGGAAACAGACCTGGCAAACCAGGAAGTTTTGTACAGTTGAGAATTGCTTAGGTAATGGTTCCTTCAAACAATTCCAGATAAGAAGTTTTGGTATGTGGAAACTGACTTGCTAAAAGCAGCTCTTGGGTTAACAATAAAGAGGCTTCTGTGAAGACAGGAGGCAATCAGTTCATCAGAAGTTGACTCTCCTGTTTCTGCTAAAGCTGTAAAACATGCAGGAGTGACTCTCTTTGACTGACATGCATAACACAGAACATGGAAATATGGCGCCCAATGTGGGGCTCAGAAAAAAGAAGGATCCAGCCACTCCAGGACTGGAGATAAAAAGTTTGCTCACTGGTGGGCTAGAGAGATAGCTCAGAGGTTAAGAGCACACTGGCTGCTCTTTCAGAGGTCCTGAGTTCAATTCCCAGCAACCACGTGGTGACTCACAACCATCTATAATGAGATCTGGTGCCACCTTCTGGTGTGCAGGCAGAACACTGTATACATAATAAATAAATTAAAACACACACACACACACATACCTCTGCCTTCCACACACATGCACACACACTCACACACACACACAGACATACACACATGCATCTATGAACACACCAATATAGGTAGTGTATTTAAAAAAAATAAAAGTTTGCTCACTGGTAAATGAGGACTCCAAGATTTGGCAGGGACATAGGGAATCCCCATCTCAGAAGCAGCAGTATGTACAGCTGCTAAAATGTTTGGTAAAAGGGAGAGCATTAATTGCACAATTGTGAATATTACAGATATAAAAGTAAAATGGCTCCTGAGACAAAGAAAAAAAAGGCCCTACCCAGTGGAAAAAGAGTAAATGAAAAAGGATTTTCCTGGTAGAAGGGAAAATGTTTAATCAAGGCCTGCAAATAGAAAGGCCCCAGAAACAAAAAATAAAGGACAGAAAAAAGCCTCTTCTCAGAATAAAGGAAGGAGAAAGGTTTGTCCAAATTAAAAAAAAAAAAAAGAAGAAGAAAGAAAGAAAAAAATTAATGACAGCTTGTCAGCCTTTTCTGCCAAGCCCCTCCCTCCCCCTCAAGCAGAGGGGCAACACCTGAATTCCAAAGAATGCTGGTCAGGACTCCATGGCTGCAGCATGAACTAAAACAGAACTTAGAATTTTCTTGTCGTTTGCCTAATTTTTGTTTAAATGTTTTTGTTTTTCCCTAATAGTTGGATAACTCAGTATCAATGGTCCCTTCATGGAAGAAAATATTAAAACAAGTCCAACTTCTAGTGCAGAAGCAATCATAACCAGGACATTAATATGCCAATGCTGTTTAAATTTCCAAAGGTATTAGTCATTCATTACATAAAGGATGTTCTTTTCTCCTGATTGTCTGAATAATACTTAATTTTCATAGTAAATAAACTAAAAGCACAAAATTTATAATATCATTGAGTACACTCTTGTCTGTTTATCATTTCTGAGGATTTGGCTCTGCCCTTTAAGTTGCTTTCTGGAAATTCTTGTTAAATTCTATAAAAATGTAACACCTGAAACAGAACAGGTTATTAGCTTATTAAATAATATGGCTACTAATAGTTCAAAAAAATAATCTCTTACTGATAGAAAGCCTACAAAAATTATTTTTCCGCTGGGCGGTGGTGGTGCACGCCTTTAATCCCAGCACTCGGGAGGCAAAGCCAGGCGGATCTCTGTGAGTTCGAGGCCAGCCTGGTCTACAAAGTGAGTTCCAGGAAAGGCGCAAAACTACAGAGAAACCCTGCCTCGAAAAACCAAAAAAAAAAAAAAAAAAAAAATTTTTCCACTAAATAAAATACAGGTAAATTGTTTCACACTGTGAAATAACTGGAAGGTTGCATTAACATGTTACTTGGGATCTATTAAAAAAAGGATCCTCTTTTTAAGATTTCATAAAAAGGGGCTGGAGAGATGGCTCAGCAGCTAAGAGCACTGACTGCTCTTCCGGAGGACCTGGGTTCAATTCCCAGCACCCACATGGAAGCTCACAACTGTTTGTAATTCCAGTTCCAGGGGATCTGACACCCTCACACCAACGTATGTATAATAAAATTAAATAAATTTTAAAAAAAGAAAGAAAGAAAAAAAGAAATGGAATTGGTGGCAGGAATGGCCATTTAAAAAAAAAAAGATTTCATAAAAATACTCCGTGGGTATTGCCTAAAGTTACCTCTAAAATTAATCATCCTATAGATATTGCTTTTAATGCTTTTATTAAAAAGAACAAAGAGCATGTTTACACACAAATTCCACATGCTCTACAAAAAGATTGTACTCACTGTAGGTTATACAGCTCAAAAGTCTCAATCAGTTTTTATTAGATGTTTCTCAGCCACTGAATATTTTTTAACTGACTCTTCTGTTTTTATAAATTTGGATGACAGTTGATTGGACAGAGTAAGAAGAATCAGTCTTAGGATCATAATGGATAGCTTTGGAACTCCAGTTTGCACATCCTCATCCAAAATGCATATCCTTAAAAAGACTGAGGCTCACTCAACATTAACTCACTTCATGTATAAATTAGCACATGAAGGGTAAAGATGCACTGAGAATGGAAAGCTACCTAATTGAGAGAAAAAGAATGTTACAGAGAACTGTATATGTAGGAAGGCTACAGTGGAAAGAAAACATCTGGAATGAGGAACTTGAGAAAAGAGTTGAACAGAAAGTTGGAATGGATGGGACATGAGTAGTTTGGAGACAGAAGTGAAAGAAAGTGACAAAAATTTAAAAAGGCTTATTGTGCTTCTTCAGCTCAGTTTCCTTGTTTTAAAACAACAATAATAAATAAATAAATCCAATTTTATTAAAACATGACAGTAATAATGAACTGCAGGCACCTCTGTCTCTAAAAAATACACCAGCAAAAAAAAAAAAACAAAAAAGAAAAAACAAAACAAAAAAAAACTTGCCTAGGAGAAAAGCCAAGAACAGCTATGGCTGTTATTGGTAAAAAGACAACACCATTAAATTTCTTAGTCCTAATAAACCCTCTGCTTATTATTATTTTGGATTAAAATAGATTTTTGTATGATGATAAATTCCTAAGGTTACAAAGGTATATTCAGGTTAACAAAAGTTAACTTAGAGAGGTATGTCTAAAACTGTAAAATCCTAATCTTATAAAAGTTACTAACTTGTCATAAACTGTTAAAAGATAATTAAGACATGCAAATTAATCACCTTATAAAAGATCAGATTTTTCAATGTGCTCAGAACTAAGTTTGTAGTTATGCCAAGTACAAATTTAATTCATTTACAGGGACAAGCTTTGGCCTTCTATATGTTTTCAAGGTTAAGCCTTCCAACAAGTTCTTCTCCATGGAACTGTTCTGCTTTGAGATTGCTCACAATTTTTTTTCATGTACAGTATCAACTGAATAGGTACTTTCATGCTTGCATGGAAAAATCCAATTGTTTTCTACTTCAGGATTTTCTATGATTATCTTAGATACTTCTAAATATCCTATTACCTAGTAGGAAAGTCTTCTTAAGTTCTTAATTAAAATTGTCCTAAAAATTTAAAGATACCAATCATAGATTACAATCCTTAAGTTTAAATCTTTAAAAAATGATGACTATGGTTAATTAAGTGGATTCTGTTTGCTCTTTAGTTTTATGCTTTCCTTTGGTCTGATAGAAGTGTAGTGGGTAGCCATTCCAGCTTTGATCTGGAAGTTCCAACCCCCATTGAGACTTCGGCAACTGCCACGCCTACAAGGCGGGGCCAAGGGAGGCGCCGGGGGACCGAGATCTGGATCGGCGGGCGCTCTCTCTGTGGCGGGACCCTGGACTGGAGAGGTGGACTGAGCAGAGCTCCAGAGAACACCGCTGGACTGTGATACACCTTCTCCAGACTCCGCGACCTACCTATTCCTTAATTTGTAAGTTACGCCATTAAATAAATCTCCTTTTAACTACGTGGAGTGGCCTTAATAATTTCACCAATATCTGGCGCCCAACGTGGGGCAAGTTCCAAAGGCCTGGGTGGCTCCCGCCCTCAGCCTTCTCCCCGGCTGGCGGGTACCTAAACCCGCCTGCAGAGTTCCATAGAACCAGGGAACGCCTACACGGTTCCATTCCCGAAAAAGGGAGCAGCTAGTCCGGTCTCAGCTCCCTAGCTTAGCCCCCAGACCAGCGAAAAACCGCTGTGAGTGAGGCGATCCCCCTCCTCCCCGAGTGCGGGCCCCGGCTCCCGCCATCCAGGGTCCCGCCACAAATTAAGGAATAGGTAGGTCGCGGAGTCTGGGGAAGGTGTATCACAGTCCAGCGGTGTTCTCTGGAGCTCTGCTCAGTCCACCTCTCCAGTCCAGGGTCCCGCCACAGAGAGAGCGCCCGCCGATCCAGATCTCGGGTCCCCCGGCGCCTCCCTTGGCCCCACCTTGTAGGCGTGGCAGTTGCCGAAGTCTCAATGGGGGTTGGAACTTCCAGATCAAAGCTGGAATGGCTACCCACTACATAGAAGGTCAGACTGACAAAAAGAAAACAGTTCAAAGAGGCTCACGAGAGCCTCTCCTCTATTGTTTTATACAGCACAAAGACACATTTTAGACATTCTTCCAAATTTCAAATGCATAACTAATAATAAATGAACATCAGCTGAAGGGGTTTGTACAGTGACACTGCACTCTTCATACCTGTGTTAATTCTAGTGTGTCTTTAAATGCCACCTCTGAGAGTTTATACATTCTTAGATCAAGGCCAGCAGTCTGGATACCAATGAAGCTGTCAAAGCCATGGCAAGACTCACCTGTGATGAGTCTAGCACAGAAGCTCACTGAAAGAGTATTAAGAAGAGCTTGTTGGAAGATGGACTGATTACTGATATAGTTATGGGAATTACTGCATTAACTACTACAGCTGCTATAGCTGGAATGGTGCGTCATAAAGAAATTCAAACTGCTGAGTTTGTTAGAGTCTGGCATAAGTACTCCACAGAACTTAGGACTCCACAAAATAAAACAGATAGTGAGCTAGTTAATAAAATAGCTGATATGAGACAAACTATATGTAATACTAATGGGAGATCAGTTAGAAATATTGAGGGAACAAATAAAATGTGATTGGAATGTTACATTCTATTATATTACATCTTTAAAGTACCATAATAGCAAGTATGACTAGTGTGGTAGTTTGAATTAATTGGTCCCCATAAGCTCACAGGGAGTGGCATTACTGGGAGATGTGGCCTTGTTGAAGGAAGTGTGTCACTCATGGGGGCAGGCTTTGACATCTCTTTTGCTTAAGCTTCACTTAGCGTCACCGTCCACTTGCTATTGACTTTTGATCAAAATGTAACCAGCACCATGACTGCCTGCATGCCACCATGCTTCCTGCCATGACAATAATGGACTGAACCTCTGAAACTATAAGCGAGCTGTGGTAGTTTGAATGTATCTGGCCCCCATAAATTTATAGGGAATGACACTATTAGGAGGTGTGGCCTCGTTGGAGGAGGCTGGATGAAGCACCTTTAATCTGGGCCCCACCTTCTGTTGGAAGTGTGCCACTGTGGGTGCAGGTTTGAGATTTTTTTCTCAAGCTTCCCTCAGTGTAACAATCAGTTGACTTTCTGTTGCCTCTGAGTCAGGATGTAAGGACTCTCAGCTCCAGCACCATGTCTGCCAGCATGCCAGCACGCTCCCCTTCATGATCATAATTGACTGAACCTCTGAAACTGTAAGTGAGCCACCTTAATTAAATGTTTTCTTTATAAAAGTTGGCGTGGTCATGGTGTCTCCTCACAGCTATAGAAACGCAAACTAATACAACTGGGAAAAGGTTAAGATGCATTTAATGGGTCACTCTAATTTTTCTCAAATGATTTATGATTTACAGCAAGAAATTAAAGAAACTTTCTCAAAAAGGTTACCTGATAGGACTGGAATGGATACTATAAAAAGAAAGCATTATAGATACTTTAGCTTGTTAATCCTGTACATCATTTAACAGATTTCTTGTTCTAGCAATCGTTATTCTTGTTCTTACAGTAATGACTTTCTTGGCTTTAAAATGTATTTTTAGCTTATTTTGTAAGATTGTGAAATAACACAACAGAGAACAGGCTGCATTTACTTTAAGGCTACATAATCTTCAACAGGATTCCGTAAGAAAGACTACAGCTACTTATGTGGAGTGATGAGAACAAAATGACATGATTAAGCTAGCACTGAAAGCCAGATGTATTTTACTTCCAACTGGCCCTCTGTGGAAGCCACTGGTCTTCTCCATCCTACAGGTTAAGACTGGTAATCAACACTCGGATACTGGTTATTGTTCCAGAGGGCCCTGGTTTGATCTCCAGCACCACACGGCAACTAACGGTAACTCCAGTCCCAGGGGATCCAAAGCCCTCTTCTGACCTCCTTGGGCACCAGTCGTGCAAGCAGTGTACAGACATACATGCAGACAAACACCAGCACACACAAAAGAAGTAAATTGAAGGGGAGCACGGACACACAAACAGCACTCAAATGGGGAGAAACACAGCCTGTCACTAGCTAGCAGGTGACAGAGAGCAGCTAATGTCTTTCCCTGTCTGCAGGAGAGCATGTCCCGAGCCATTCTCCCTGGGAGCACAGCAGCTCATCTGCCCACCTTGTCCTCCAGCGCCGCCATTCTCTCCTTCAGATGCAGCTGCAGCCTCTCATTGGACTCCGAGAGCAGCTTGTCCACAGTGTCAGACAGGCGCTTATTATGTTCCTCGTTCATCTTTTCTCTCTGCCTTGCCTAAAACAGGAGGGGAAGTTTCCAACTTCAGGCTCATGTCTAGCTCTTCGGAAGCACCAGGACCAATGGTTACCAGAGGCTATGCTCCCCTCCTCTCATCCACAGGGGACTTTCAGGTACCAACTGGGACACAAGAAACTCAAGACAATCTTGGTGAGGCTGTGAACTAGAAAAGACTTATGAATGTCTCAAGAAGGTCACCTGTCTCTAGCTCTCAATTGCACTTAGCAGAGTTCCATGAGAGGACAGAAGAAATTGGAGGGGATCAGTCCATTTGCACATTAGCCCAGCAATGTCTCTGGATGTGAATAAAAGCTTGAGTCTGGCTTCAAGGGGAAAAGAATTAAATCTACAAAGTGAAAGCTGAACAAGCTGATCTTTAGTCAGTAGAGATGCAGGGCATCTCTACCTACACTCAAAACTACAAATGACAACGTAGTAACTTTACAATGTGCTAACTCAAGGCTGGAGCTAGGCCTGCTCAGCACACACCCAAGCATACCTCACTCAAGCCCCAGCACCCAGACAGGACTGAAACCCCAAGGAAGGGCTGCACCAGGCCCAGCAACCCTGCGTGGGGGAAGCATGGGTGGTAGAGCCTCCTAAGACCCTCAGCTTTGTGCCCAACAGAAAATAGCTGCCAAATGTGAGGAGGCTGCCAGGCATGTGCCCGACAGCCCTTCTCTGAAGAGTGTGCCTGTCTCTGTCCACACCTGAACACTCTCAAAGCCAAACAGCTGGAAGTTCAGGTGCAAACATGATTGTCTATTCAGAGCTCAGTGACACTGTGTATAAGCCTCACAGGCTCTGTGACGATGTGCCTTAGCCTATATTGCCTAAGACCTTATACAAGAGCTTAAAAATCATCATTTCCCAGAAGTTCTCCTAGTTCTCTGCAGTCTTAAATTGATGGAAAACACTGGCTGCCGTGCTGTGCAAAGGTTCCACAGTCACACACCCATGCTGCCTTCCTCCATAGCAGGCCCGTGGTAGAGAGAGCCCGTGCCCTGTGTCCTGATGCCTCTGCCTGCCTCTCCCAGGACAAGCCCTCTGACCCAGCTGAAACAGCACTCTCCCAGCTGCTCACTAAGGCAGGTAAGCATTGGTGCTCCTGCTCTGATACCATCACATCCTGAGTGACAATTCAGGACCTGAGGACAGGGTCAGGGTCAATGCTCTGGCCTGAACATGGGATTTCAGAACCTCATGCTGAGCAGGGCCAGTAACCTAAGGAGACAGGACTTGAGTTTTAGGTTCAGGCTCTAGGGAACTGTTTCTCAACCCGTGGGTTGCAACCTCCTCCACAGGGGTTGCCTAAGATCATCCTGCATAGCAGATATTTACACTATGATTCATAACAGTAGCAAAGTTACAGTTATAAAGTAGCAATGAAATAATGTTATGGTTGGGGTCACTACAACATGAGGAACTGTGTTAAAGGGTGGCAGCATCAGAGAGGTTGAAAACCACTACTCTAGGGAGACCCAGCAGTTCCCTTGAGGGGATAGAAAAGCAAGAAGCCTTGTGGACCCAAGAAGCCTGACTGTGCCTGAAGTGCTTGCTGCCCATGACACCTCTGCTGCCAGTGGATAACAAACACACTGGTGCAGTCCAAAAGGACCAGAGCACAGGTCCACAGGACAAGAACCGGATGGAAGGAGGAACTGGGACAGAGAAGCCCGAGCCCGCAGTGGTCTGTGTCCCACCTGGAAGCCAGGCTCAGCCCCATCCATACCCGCTGCAGCTCCTGATTCTTCTCCTCCAGCTGTGCCTCCATCTGCCGCAGCCTCTCTTCAATGTTGCCATGTCTCTCCTCGGCCTGCCAGCAAAGATGACAGAAGCTGATCCTCTGCTCATGTCATTTACACTAGCTACATACTACTGTAGCAGCAGCAAGCACCACATGCTGTGTGGACCATGTCAAGCCTGGCAAAGGGACAACACTTCCTCATTCCTACACATCAGCACCTCCTCTGTGGCGTCAATGTCTATACTGTGAGGTGACTAATCCTCTCATGTTGACCTCAAGTGTGGCAGGTGCTAGTGACTGCCTTTCTGTGTCCCCCCACACTGGCCTGCCTTGGACAACCCATCTGCTGAGTGCCTCTGGTGGTCAGCATGGGGAGCAGGAAGCAGCAAGCACAAGCATAAGGCACAGTTCTACCTTCCTAAGCTTGGAAGTAAGCTCCAACAGTTTAGCTTCCTTAGCAGCAGAACTCCCAGAAGACAAAGGACCAGACTATAAAGCAACAGGACAGGAGGACAGCAGGGAGAAAAGAAACCGAGACTTTAGGAGGGGACCAGGGAGAACAAAAGCAAGGTTCTGTTATAGTTGACAAGGACTCCAGTGTCCAGGTGCAGGAGTGGGAACAGGGCCCACCCTAAGTTTCCCTTACCAACAGGATGCTGTCTCCATCTGGGCCCCTCTCCCAACCCTCCCCAGCAATTAAGCCCAAGTCTGGGAAACAGCAGGACTCATGCTGGGGATAGATCCACAGCCTCTCTTCATGCTGCTGTGCCTCACAAACAGGGCACCCACCCATCACTCTCGAAGCTCCTGATTCCTGCCTACCCTGATGTGGATGGTGAGGACCCAAAGGATATACACCTTAACAAGGGTAGTAGAAAACAAGAGTATTACATTAAAAACATTATGTTAAGCATTGTGGTATAAACCTGAAGTCCCAGCTATTCTGCTGGCTGAGACAGGAGGGTTCCTAGAGGCAGGAGTTTAGGGCCAGCATGGGTAGATAGTGAGACTCCATTTCAATGAGCAAATAAACATTTTAAAGTAATCTCAAAAGAAAATTACTAAAAACTGTGTGACTGTCTTAAAAGACAAATGTCATTTTCCTTTTCTAAGAGAAGCTCCAGCCTTTCTTCAAGTTGGTGAGAGAAATAACCCAAGCAGCTGTGACTCTTGGACGCTAACATCAAAGACAGCAGCTTTTACCTGACAGGTTTGGGGACTGATGGGGAATAAGGGTCTTGAGCTACACAGAAACAGCGCTCCCATCACACAACAGCGCGGACACTCCGTAGATGCTGATGCACTGACTAGAACATCAAGGCCTTACATATGACCCCACATGGCCCAGACGCACCTTGGAGAGTGCAGCCACCCTCTGGGCCAGCTCAGCCTCCACCTCTGGCAGTGTCTCAGCTTTCCGCAGGGTCTGCTGCAGTTTCTGCTCTGCCAACTCCAATCGCTCTTGCAACTGGCGGTTCTTATCTTCCGTCTAGAAAGGTACAACATCAAGAGTTCAGGCTGCTGCTTTATACACCTGACAAAGCTTCTACTGGATTCAAAGCTTTTATCTGTGCTTGTTTGTTTGTTTGAAATAATAAGGGGCTGGAGAGATGGCTCAGCGGTTAAGAGCACTGGCAGCTCTTCCAGAGGTCCTGAGTTCAATTCCCAGCTACCACATGGTGGCTCACAACCATCTATAATGAGATCTGATGCCCTCTTCTGGCATAAAGGTGTACGTGCAGATAGGACACCCACATATATAAAATAAATAAATAAATCTTTAAAAAAAAACAACAGTAAAAACAAACAAAAACTGGTGGGGTGGTGGCACACGCCTTTAATTCCAGCACTCAGGAGGCAGAGGCAGAGGCAGGCGGATCTCTGAGTTCAAGGCCAGGCTGGTCTACAGAGCAAATTCCAGGATAGCCAAGGCTACACAGAGGAACCTTGTCTCAAAAAAAAAAAAAAAAAAAAAAAGGACATATAAACAAAACCAACCAAACAAACAAAAAACCAAAACCAATACAGGTTACTATACACTAAAGGAATGTGAGTTACTCATTCTGACAGATAAGGAGTCCCTGCCCAGAGTGCTGCCTGAAAGCACAGCCCGTGGCAAGATGCTTGGGCTGCTCTGTAAATGCTTAGATATGAAACTCACTGCAGAAAATCTAAGTCAGTGCAAGTGGAAGAGTACAAGGGGTGAGTGAGACCATGGAGGCTACTGTCTGTGGGCACCATCCCCCTGCTGTGTGTGAACACAGCACACATCAGGCCCCACCACAGTTTCTGAGTACTACGTCGTGGCAGCAGTTTTCACAGCTGCCTAATTTATTTTTGGTCAAGCAACACCCTTTGCCCTTTATAAAATACTTTTAAGCAGTCTGGCTGGGTTTTTCTAGTTAACTCTCAATGACCTGAGACCATATATATCCTGAGGACCAGGGTGCCTGCCAGCTCCTACAACCTGACTTCTGGTGCTATTGAGTGCACTGTTCAACACTGCCAGCAAGTTCTTTTTTCTTTTCTTTTCTTTTTTTTTTTTTTTTTTTTTTTTTTTTTTTTCAAGACAGGGTTTCTCTGTAGCTTTGCTCCTTTCCTGGAACTCACTCTGTAGTCCAGGCTGGCCTCGAACTCAGAGAGATCCGCCTGGCTCTGCCTCCCAAATACTGGGATTAAAGGCTTGTGCCACCTCCGCCTGGCACCAGCAAGTTCTTTACCACTACTTACTTAGTGAAAGGGCTAAGAAGCAATTGGCTTCCAATGAAACCAAAGAAAGGGCTAGGGAGACAGCTCAGTGGGCAGACTAGCAACTGTGCAAGCATGAGAACCTGAGTTCAAGGCTCAGCACCCACACTCATAAAAACAGAAACACATGCTTGTAATCCCAGCACTGGGGATGCAGATACAGCAGGAACCTTGGTACTCACTGCACTGCCAGTCTAGACAGTATGTGAGCTCCACATTCTGTGAGAGACTATCTCAAAATCTTACAGTGGAGAGGCTACAGAAATAGCTCAGGGGTTAGGAGCATTTGCTGCTCTTCCAGAGGACCCAAGTTTGATTCCCAGAACCCACATTCACTGGTTTACTACCACCTGTAATTTCAGCTACAGAGGATCCCATCCCTTCTTCTGAACTCCACAGGCACATACCCACACACAAGTACACATGATTAAAAATAGAAACAAAGCTTAAAATGTCTTAAATTAAAAAAAAAAAATTAAGCCGGGCGGTGGTGGTGCACGCCTTTAATCCCAGCAATCGGGAGGCAGAGCCAGGCGGATCTCTGTGAGTTCGAGGCCAGCCTGGACTACCAAGTGAGTTCCAGGAAAGGCGCAAAGCTACACAGAGAAACCCTGTCTCGAAAAATCAAAAAAAAAAAAAAATTAAGGTGGAGCAAAGAAGAGAAAAAGACACCGACTTTGACCTCTGGCCTCTGCATGCACACACCTACACATGCAGGTGCACATGTTCATGCACACACATGAACATGCACAGGCACAGATGTACACTCACACCAAAAAAAGGAAAGAAGGAAACAGAAGAAACAAGGTTCTATAAACTGGTAAGTAGTAATTCACAAGAAAAATGACATTTGGTCTTGATTTCCAACATGCATCTTACAGGTAAGGTCTTCAACTTCACAGCTAGGAATAATTACAGCTCGAAAGGAGCCCACAGAGCCCAGTACCTGTCGGTGCATGGAGTCTTTATTTGCAATTTCATTTTCAAGTTTGTCATTGAGGTCATGCACAGACGTGGCTTCACGTTGTGCTGCGAGGTAGCGTTTCTCAAGGGTGGTGATTCTCTCCTCCATATCCTCCTTCTGGGCCATCGCCTGTGTTGTAGATTCCAGAGGGAAACGGGGGTGAGAAATGCAGAACTCATCAGAATACTCAGGAGACAAAAAGACTAAGTACATCTCAAGCGTGAAACTGCTGCTCCCCCAAGTAAACTGTCGGTTTTTTCAAACTGAGTAAAATGGACGTACTTTAAGCATATTCACCCACATGATGAGCAGCTTTGCCTGGTCAATATGCTCGTGTCATCAAGTGTGTATTTGACTACACAATATTAATAAAACACTCCATATGACACTTCAGGCATCCAAGAATCTGAAGGTGCCTGTGGTGAAGGTGTAGCCTGTGTCTGCCCAAGCAACAACCAGGCTCACATCGCATGCGGGCAGAATTGCTTCATTTTCTCAGGAAAGAACTGAAGAAACTTGTAAAGCTCAAGCATGTTGACAAATGAAACAAAAGTCAGCAGCAAAGCCAATGCTACAAAGCCCAAACACCAAGACCAGGACCGGAACTTCTGGCATGTTTGATATCTGTCTTCCATCCCCAAATTTGGGTTTTAGCTCCTTCCATATTTTCTAAGTGACTGCTGGCAATCTTTAATATATTTTTTGAAGAAGCAAGTCTTAAAAGAATATCACAATTTTCTGCCACATAACTAATCCCCTGTGGCCCAAGAAAAGCACAACCCAGTAGGTTCTATAATACATACAGCGTTTCCTTTTGTCTGAATCCTTACAACAAATCACATTCATCTCCACAACTAAAGCTCCCTGGTCTCACACATGCTAAAGGTAGGGGCCTCACGGGGTAACAAAAGTCAGGTTCAGCTGGGACAGAAAGAGCTTTCCAAGAAAGCAGACAGCTTTCATTTCTTTTCTAATGATTAATGAGGGTCTTGCAAACAGTTACCAAGGAAAAATGGTTGTGAGGTATATGTATAAATGCATATTTCCATAAAGACCCTGATGACCAGAATGTAGCAATCCGAAATGACAGAAGACGGCTGGCGCACTCCCTCTCACTCCTACACAAGCATAACTGCCACCACGTCTGTGGGCTCTGTGGGCAAGTCAGAAGGAATGGAACACAAGCAAGAGCACACTGCAGCAGCCATGGAGACATGTGATCTCTGCGTGAGGGCAGTGCAGGAGGGAAGGGCACACGATCTGTATCCCAAAAGTCCCTGTAAGTGAGAGCAAAGGACAAAGGGGATGGGAAGCCAAGTGCAGCCCACACTCACTTCGCGGACATCTCGCTGCAGTTTCGTGTTCATCTCTTCAGACTTGATGAGGTCTTTTCTAGCTGTGTCCAGATCCTCCTCCAGCTCTGCTGCGTGACTGGACAGGGACGCCAGGCGCTCCTTCATCTGGCTCTGCTCTCTCGCCTGCCTGTCTATGACTTCCTGCAGCTCCAGCACTTTGGCAAGATCCTCATGGCTCAAGGAGCCGTCAGAAGATCTCTGAAAAGCACAGCCTTATGGCACCCTATTTGGTATACCTCCAGAAAAAGAGGGACCCTCAGAGTGACCTGTGTGCTCCTCGGAGGACACAGACCTCGCCACTGTTCCCCAACAGCCCCACATGGCAAAACAAAACCAGAGACCCCACAAAAAAAGCCAAGGACTTGCCTTGCCGTTGGTGCTTGGTGTGTTTTCCTGTTCATGGTTTCCGTCAAGCATTCCATCTGTTAGTGTTTTCTTCTGATTATTCTGTTCTTTAAGAATCATTAGCTAAAACAGAAAATTTGAACACTCTGGCATGAGATTTTTATGTAAGAAAAATGAGCGAAGGTGGCCAGTGGCTTTGTGAGACAAGTGGCTATAACTGTTGTGCAGCCAAAGGCTCCAGCAGTGCTCTAGAAACCATTTGTCATTTGTGGACAGAGGCACTTGGAAGAGGCTGAGAGCTGAGACTGAGTCCAGTGACCCTAGCAGGCTGATCTACACCTAGGAAAAGAAGTAACTCCATGTAAGGCCCTGGGTTCGGTCCTCAGCTCAGGAAAAAAAAAAAAAAAGTAACTTCTTGTGTCTATCACTGTCTCACTTCTAAATTAAGCAACAATAATCAAACCCCTTCGGTCCCAACCCCATGACAATGCCCCATGCTCACCTCTTTGTGGGTAGCACCCAGCTCCTCCTCTAACAAGCTGCACCTCTCCAAGGCTACTCGGAGTCGCTCTCGTACCTGCAAGTGAAGGGCTGAGTGTGCACGTGGACTCCTGCTGCACGCCCAATGCAGTACAGCATTAGTGGAACACAACAGACTGGCTTTCTACTGCCACCAACACCCCAGTGGCTCCGTTCTGAGCAAAGCTGACTGGAACTTGTGAACCCCTGATGCCTCAGTCTCCTAAGCACAGGGACCACAGGTGTGTGTGTTTTAAATGTGGCAAAATCTTGTTCCTAAATAAATCAGACCACTAAGTTGTTATTATTTGCTTTTTTGATAGAGAGGAGAAGGTTGAGATAGAATCTTGCTGCACAGCCCTAGCTGGCCTAGCACTATCTATGCAGCCAAGACTGGCCTTGAACTCTCAGCAACCCTCGTGGCCTCTCAAGTGCTAGGATTATAAGCACTGGTAATCGTACTAGGCCCAAATTCTTATTAGCACATTGACAGAAAAATTTTACCATTTTTAAGACATTCAAGGCAAGGATGCTCATCAGCCACATAGGCCAGTGCCTTCTACCACAGAAAAGCTTTTCACAGGAGCTCCAGGGGTTATAAAACAGTGACCACAGTGTCCATGAAGCCCCCATGACAGGGCATCCGCTGTCAGTGTGGTGATGGTACCTTCTCATCCAAGGCTTTGTGGTGCTCAAACAGTGACTTGAGCGCTTTCAGCACCTCCACCTCGCTGGACACGCCTGCAGGCGACTGTGCCTGCCTCTTCACCACTGTCATCCGCAGAGAGCGCTCATGCCTGGAGACAAGGCACTCTAGGTGCTCCAGCAGCAGCTGCAACAGAGCCCAGCAGGCAATGAAGTGCTTGCCTCACAGGTAAGACTCCACCCACAGCAAGGGAAGATTCAACTCAGCACAAGCAGAGCAGCCCCCAAGGCTGAATTAAAACCTGCTAAGGTCCCACGGTGCTGACAGGCTGATGGCCCACTCTGCAGAGTGGGAAAGGCAAAAGGGACTGACCCTGGTGTTGTTCCTCTCTGCCTTCAGCTCAGCGATTTCCTCCTCCCTCTCCAAAAGCTGCTCCCTACACACGTTGAGTTCCTTTGTGAGCGCAGCAAACTCCTAGAGGGCAACAAGCACAGAGAGACTGAATGAACTCATGAGCAAACAGAAACTTCTGCAGAGAAAAGACCCCAAGAGCATTCACTGTCCCCACCCACTGGAACGCACAGGAAGATCCTCCAGGGAAAGGGGGACTGACTGACCTATCTCCAGGCTTCCCTAATAACCCAGACCCTCACCCAGCCCTCCAGCCTTCCCTTTCTCTGTGTCCCCATCATGGCCAGTGGGCATAGTGCAATCCAAGCCCACCTCCTCAGCAACCTCAGAAGATCAGGAACGGAGCAGGAAGGCATTTTTAGTGACTAAGACATGTGACTTAGGACGATTGGAGACAGAAAAGAAAAAGCCCTAGAAGGCTACTCCCTGGCCTGACCTCTCTGTGGGGCATTTCATGGCCAGTCTTTTTAGGCAGAAAGTGAGCTCAAAACCAAACCTTAAAAACTGATTTTTCAGCCAGGCGGTGGTGGTGCACGCCTTTATTCCAGCACTTGGGAGGCAGGGCCAGAAGGATCTCTATGAGTTCGAGGCCAGCCTGGTCTACAGAGCAAGATCCAGGACAGGCACCAAAACTACACAGAGAAACCCTGTCTCGAAAAACCAAAAAAAGCTTTTTCACAAGATCAAACCTTTTGCAGAGAGGTGAGGAGAGCACCCAGAGATCCGGATGGCCATCCCCAGTGCTGCCCCAGGGCACTCCTCACACTGTCTACTGAGTGTGAGTATAAACCATGAGTTCACATGCTTCTGCCAGTTTCTCAGTGGAGCCAAAATCTTTGAAATAATTACTCTGAAGTAATGCACCTGCTGTTTCTCTGGGCTTCTTAAAGGAAGGGGGATGCATACTGGCCTACCTGATCGAGAATGAAACAGACATTCAAAGTATAAAGAGTGGTTGTTGGGCAATTTGACTTTTAAAAAGCTGGTCGTGTGAGCCAGGCAGTAGTGGTACATGCCTTTAATCCCAGCACTTGGGCAAAGGCAGGCAGGCAGGCAGGCAGGCAGCCTGGTCTACAGAATGAGTTTCAGGGCAGCCAGTGCTATACAGAGAAACCCTGGGGGGAGCGAGGGAGTCATGTGTTCAAATCACATCTACATCAGACTTTTGCCACTCAGAGTCAACTGACTACCAGTCACCCACTCTGGATTCATCAGGCTTGCCCAGAAATGCTTGCCTGTGCCCCAAGCCAAGCACAGGCTGTGGGTGAAAACAGTCAACAGTTGAAAGAGCTCTATCTAAAGGAGCGCTAGAGGGAGACAGAGGAGATGGTTGAGAGAGTGCAATAGTCAATGGAGAGCCAGGGAAGGTCGTTCCTCCCTCCGTGTCTGTTCCCCCACCCTACCCCCCCACCCCAGTGTCTGGGGGAAGCATGTAATCATTTTAACTCATGGATGTCTCTCAGAAGAAATTAGCAATTCTCCTGCAGGAACAGTAGCCGTGGTAATCCACTCTTGACCTGACAGCAGGAGCCGGGCCATGGAGACCAAGAACACTGAGACTAAGCACAGGCTCACATGGCAATGCCACATGTTGCAGCCCTCAAGGGCTTAAAGGAAGAGCTGGTTCTGAAGAGCACAAAGAAGGTTGGGGAGAGGGAGACACAGTGGACCCTGGTGCTGTAGGTTAAGAGGCAGGGATTCTGGCCCAAGGATGGTTCCAGACTCTACAGAGTGGAGTGATAGGGCAGAGCAGGCTCTGAAGGGACAGGAATGAACATGCCATATTTAAGATACGCAGACAGCAATGTCAGAGAGGGGGCTGCAACTCCCAGTCAGGGCTTCTGGTGTGTTCAGGAAGAGGATACCAATACAAGAACAGGAGCCAGGTCCTAGACAGACGGAAATGTAGGAGCACCAACAAAAGACCCAGATTGTCAGTGAGGTAGAAGCAATATCAGCTAAGACACTGGTGCTGGCAGATCAAGTAGGCTGACCCATCATGGCACTGGGTAGTAAGAGAAGGTCAATGGAGACTGTGGCATGGTGACAACAGTGAAGTTAGACCCAGAAGCAAATTAAGGACAAATAGTGCAGAGGCTACATCTTCCAGAAGATGGGACTCTTGCTTGCAGATGGCAAGAATCGTATGCATTATGCAGACAGCCAAGAGGCTGAGGGGAGAAGCAGCATTTCTTGGGCACAGAGCAAAACCAGAGTATGGAAAGAGAGAAGATGGGCACAGATCCAGATCGGGGAGGCAGGCTGCCAGAGCCCCTTTGGGAACCGAGATAGGTTGAGTTTGGGGATGGTACAGGATGGCCCCCAGGGGGGACAATACTTCCAGCACACAGAGGCAAAGAGGGCAAGAGGAGAATGAACACACAGCTGCAATGGCAGCAGGAGGTGCTCATGGGATTTCAAAGTGGCAAGAAAGAGGGAAGGGCTCGGGACTGGCTGGAGACAGACAACTGTCAGCATCTTATGTCTGAAGTTCAAAGTCAACAAACTCCACACTTCATCAAGGTGCAGCAAAATGACATGGAGGCAGAATTGCCCGCCGTTACTGCCTGGGATGAGGGAGGATGACCTGCAGTCGCCCTCATTCCCATACAAGCCAACATCCTATGGCATCATCTGGCATTGCTCTATCTCTCAGCAGCAAACAGCTTGTAAATTTTTTTTTCATTTTCTTTTTTTTTTTTTTTAAAGACAGGGTCTCACTTAGGTATCCCAGTTTGACCTTGAACTTACGACTCTGCTGATGTAGCCTCCCAAGTATCTGGCTTCCGCTTTCATTTCAAATGTAACAAACTGTTACAGACTTGCTTTTAAGATCCCCAAGCGGCTTCCATTCTCCTATTGGCTTTTGATGTGCTCTCCCTATCCCTGTCCCTGCCCCTGTGCTCCCCACCCCCCATTTTCCCTCTCAACAGCCTTGGCTGCTGTGGAACTTGTTTTGTAGACTAGGCTGAACTCCAACTCACAGAAATCCACCTGCCTCTGCCTCCTGAGTGTGCTGGGATTAAAGGTATGTGCCACCATACCTGACTCCATGTGTCCTCTTAGCACAGAAGGGATACACTTACTTCTGTTATTCCAGTTATATATTCGTGTTTACCATAAACTCAACAGTTCAGACCTATGGTGGCACACTGTTCCAGCTACAGAGAACAGACTCACAAAACTTGACATCATTTTACTCAAAGAAAAAACTTCTCTTTGCTCAAAAGGATCCAACAACAGAAAATGTTATCAAAGCAAATTTAATTTAGGAGTTGAGATAAACATTAGGCAGGAAATTCCAAAGCTGCAGACTCCAAAACCACATCCCTGCTGCACAAAAATCTACAAGACCCTCAGCCATGTGCAGTAGGGATCTACATATCACTATACAAGGTCCAACTCTCCACATACCCTTTTTCTCTTAAAACAAAATTAATTTTAACCAGGTGCAGCGGCATACTCCTGTCAACCCAGCCTTCAGGAGATGGAAGCAGGAGGATCAGGAGTTCAAGATCATCCTCAGCAATATAATGAGTTTGAGGCCAACCTGGGCTACATGAGACCTTGTCTTAAAAAAATAAAAATATAATAATAATAATAATAATAATAATAATAATAATAATAACGGGGGATTAAAAACAGTATTGCCGGGTGATGGCTTAATTTGTGGAGTGTTTACTGCACAAGCATGAGGACCTGAGCTTGATCCTTAGAACCCATGTTTAAAAGAAAATAAAAAAGGTTGAGTGCAGTGGCCTGTGTTTCTAAGCCCAGTGCTAGGAAAACAGAGGCAGGCGCGCACGCGCGCACACACACACACACACACACACACACACACACACACACACACAAAAGCAAACAGAGAATGACCATAACCTGGTGCTGAAGAGGTGGCCTGGTTGTTAAGAGCACTTCCCAGCACCTATATGGCAGCTCACAAAGATAAGTGATAAATCCCTTTTTAAAATACCTTAACCCAAATATGATACTTATATTTTTAAGGCTTTATTATAATTTCTATATATAAGCATTTTGCCTGCATGTCTGTTTGCATGCTAATAAATGTGCCCAGTGCCTGTGGAGGCCAGTAGAGGGCATTAGATCTTTGGAACTGGGGTTACAAACAGCTGCCATGTAAGTGTAGGGAACTGAACCTGAGTCCTCTTTAAGAGCAGCAAGTATTCCAAACTGCTGAGCCACTCTCCAGCCCCAAGTTATGGTCAATGAAAAAGAACAGCAAGCACCAAGGCCATGTGCAGGTGGGGACTGTGTGTTCTTCACCACTCAAGGTGCCATGCGCAGTGGTTCTGCAAACCCAGGCTATTTATTGATATTGCCATGTTTAACAGACATCATAACCACTGAGGGTTTTGGTCATCCATTTAAAATCTGACAGCCACCCATAATTCTATCTAACACCCTCTTCTGATCCTCATGGGCACCAGGCACACACATGATACATATACATAAATGCAGGCAAAACACTCACACACGTAAAAATTAATCCTCCCCCAAAAAACTAAGTCTGTACAAAACAAATCTGTATTTCCATTTGATATCATCAGAAAAGAGTCATTGAGAAAACAAGATTAACCACTAAAATTAGTTCAAGAACTTTGTTTCTCACAATGCTTACTTAAAATTTTATCATTTCTGGACAAAAACAAAAACAACAACAAAAAAAAAACAACTGCTCTACCAGAATACAGAAACCAAATATTATGGATCAAAACCCACAGTCCAGCCAATGTCCCTGGGCCCTCTGGATCAGAGGCATTTCTCTCTATAGGCCTCTACCTCCTACCTTCCTTTTCTCCAGGAGTTGACACCACTCCCCACCGCCACCCACACTATCTAGCTCAGTCCCTTCCACACTTGTGTTAGTTCCATACTCCATACTCTGCCAGCACCATCAATGGTGCCTTTTAATGTTTAAATTATGTTTTGTTATTGTACTAAAAAACTTCCACGGTTATTCCAGCATTTTAAAAAGGCACCTGTGCCACACTGCAGATCAGAGACAGCCTGAGGATGCTGTGCTACTGAAAGAAGCCAGAAGT